GAGCATGAAATCAACCTCTATTCATCATTTTAAAACAACTACAATCAAACCCCTAGCTCAATTTCATCAAATCACAAACTTCCCTAATTTAGAGTTTAGGCCAAAAATCAATATAGCATTTCTAGGTGGTTTTGATCATCAAACAAGTTTGGAAATGATTATACAACCTCAACAACCTCAAAATCCATCATCAATTCATAAAAACCTAACATGAACATAAACCCTAAAATTTAGAAACTTAACATTCAAACAAGATTAGCATGCAATAATGGTACCAAATGATAGAGCTCTTCGAATAAAACAATTTTATATTTCACGGTTAGATCTAAAATCCAAAGGAAATTGCTAAAAAATAAAAAATAAAATTTCTCTTACCTAGGTTATGAGGAGCACGAAATGAAGGTCGAAGAAGGTCTTATTTTCATGAAATTTCTAGTTAATTTTGTTGAAAATATTTTGATGTTTCGATATAACAAATTAAGTTAAATGAATGTTAAGATTGTGCAATAAGGTTTTCTAAGTATATTCGATATAATTATTCGAATATCAAAACATTACTCTAAATCTTTCAAAAATCATTTTTAATCCTTACTCAAGTGTAAAATTAAGTTTTAATCTTAAAACAATTTCAAAATAATTTTACAAAGTATTTCGAACCATTTCAAATCCAAAAATTCCAGATTGCTCAGAGGGAACCGATTCCCCCCCAAGGGGGTACCGATTCCCCCCTGAATGGTTTGACTCCGAGAATTCCAGTATGCTCAGAGGGAACCGATTCCCCCCCAGGGGGTACCGATTCCCCCTTGTGTAACGGTCGAAAAATTTGAATTTTACACTTAGGGAACCGATTCCCCATAGGGGGTACCGATTCCCCCCACGCTCCAAGTTGTTTTATTAATTGTTTTCACACGAAAATGGCTATATTATCTTCTCTAATCATCCCCAACGTTTAGAAGTGATTCAAGGTGTATTTAAGCAAGCTTAGAAGCCATTGATAAAAAACAAGAAAAATATCAAGCAACTAGAATCAAGAGAGAATCAAAGAAAAAGCATCAAACCTCAAGTTTGAGCATTTCAAGCCTATTTTTCATTCAATATTCATTTTGAACACTTATTGTGCTCAATTGTATTCATTTTTTAGTGTTCTTTTCTTTGTTCTAGAATTGTGCAAACAATCTACCTTGTGAGGATTTCCTTGTAAGTTTGCAAATTTGTATTGTTCTCTTTGGGAGAGAGTGTTCTCAAGAATTTGGGGTATAATTCTTGAGGGTTTGTAAGGTTACTATTTGTCCTCAAAAGAAAGACAAATTAGTGAATTTGTGGAAAATCCTTAGTGTGGATAGCTAAGGTAGTGGACGTAGACTTTGGTTGAGAAAGTCGAACCACTTTAAATCGCTGTGCAATTTCTTTCAATTTTCTGCAAAAGCTTCCACCAAAATTTTTATTGCCAATTCACCCCCCTCTTGGCCAATTCTGTCAATCGATTAACTCAACAAATTTCATGCTAATTTGTCATTTATTAAGCTTAAATGAATTAAAAATTCATTTAATTAAGAAATGATAATTTTACCATTAATGAAACTTGATAATTACATCCATACCAAGCCACATGTTGGTTATCATCTTCCAAAGTCAAAGATGAACAAAATATTATACACTTGACAACTTTATTCATGCAACTTTCCAGGAATTTCAATCTTGCCATTTTCATCAAACGGTCCAAATTGAATATGAAAATAAATTCTCAATTCCAATGGTTCATATTAGTTTCCATCATTTTAAAATGTGGAATGTAACACTCCTATCCCGTATACAGTCTCATATAAGAAGTAGAAGTGTCACATTAATCTTGTAAAACATATATTGTTTAAAAATTAATAAAATTTTGTTTCATTTAAAAACGACATTAAATTAAGTAATATAAAATATTTAAACTACTATTCATTCATCATATGATCAAAAAGAGTTTAGGCATATTAGAATCAGAGTATCAAAATAAAAATATATACATGCCAACTGTAAATATAAAAAAACATCAGAAAGATGTTATACTAATTCTGGATGTTTGAACCGGTCTGTCAAAATGTAGGATATCTTACCTGGCTCCCTACTATGCTGACTTTGCTTTCCCTACGTGTGGACCAATCACACGCTAAGTATTTCACTTAGTGAGGCAATTTAATACAAAAATAACATATAAAATAAACATTTACACATAAAAAATTATATAAATAAATCATGCATAAAAATAAAATAAAAACAATTATTACAATCCTTTACTTTAAACTACATATCAAATATGTACTTTTCTATTTTTAACTCGTATCGTTGACCACTGTATTGTCACGAGAAATCTATGGTACATGAGTCATATGAGTGAGGACCCACTATACAGTCGAAACTGCTACTAGTAACACGCGTAAAATGCATTAGGTTACTCCACCATGCGAGTCATATGAGTAACACTGTCATATAATATGACATATAAAATACTCTGTAGATTGTACCAGATCACTCCACCTCGGAACCACTAAGGCACACGAGTCATATGATCAATCTATACTGATGTTACTTCGTAAGCTTGTACTTGTTCACTTCACCCCTTAGTATGCCAATTGTACCATTACTCTCACTTACATACAATAGGCTTATATATAAAAAAATATATACTATTTGCATACTAAAACATTAATGTGTTCGATTCAAATAAAATCTCATACTCAAAAAAATCATATACTATGAAGTAAAACCACTTAATAAAATATATTTTCAATTACAACTTTTTTTAAAAAAACTTTTTAATAAAAACAATCGAGGTTGACTCATCGCAAGTCCTTTTCATATTATTTCGTTAAAAAGTTAGTTGCACTCACATGTTGTCTCACTACGTTTTGATGCTATTTTTTGCCTTACTCTCGAAATTAATTTGTTTCTTTTAATTCGCTTTGTATTTGATTTCAATCATGATCTACACGAACATCGATTCTCCGACATATACAATTTCGAATACGAGTTAGTACTTTAACTAATATAATAAACCCTAATAAAAATAACCCTTTCAAGTCCCTTAATATTTACTTAAATTTCATTTCCATCATCTAAGAAATGCTAGATATCACAAAACCATAAAATAAAGATGGAAATGACTAAGCTGTGGCATAAGTAGAAAACGATAATAAACAATTACTTTGATATGGCTTTTCTCTTCTTTTCTTTCCTGTTTTTCTTTTTAATTACAAAAGCTAAAAGATTACAAACTGTAATCAACCCTTTCAAACAGAAATGAAAACCAAACTTTTTCTCAACGAATCTTAATTAATTCCACTAATCCCAGCCTTCTTTTTCTTTTGATTCCAATAAATTTCCATATTATAATAATCAAAATAACTCATATTTCATATTTCTTCAAAACCCTTATAGTAACCGATATTTTTAAACAAGTCCTTCGAAATGTTTCCAAATCAATTTTCATGCTTATATTTTACTCCCTAACACTCCTAGCATCAAAATAAAAACTATTTTTATTGATTTCTCATCTCTCAAATTTTATTTTTGACCCTGCAATTTTTAAAATTTCATTTTAGTCACTAAATTGCATTATTTTACTTTATAGTGCAATTCTCACAAATTCCACCAATCCAATTTAAATTCCACTAATTAAAATATCCATATAATTTTTCTACCCCAAAAATGCCTTCCTTCAAATTTTGTTAGACTTCGAATTCGATCCGACTGTTCAAATACTTACCAGACTTTATCCTTTAATAGACTCATGCAAATTCCATATAAAAAGAATCTTAAACCCACTAAAATAATTATCTTGGGCTGAACTACTTATTTACAAACCCATAATATAACTTTTAAAATAATTTATGGTTTTAGTTCCTAAACTTTTACAACTTTACACATTGGTCCCTAAACTTTTAAATTTTACAGTTTAATCACTAGCCCAAAATTTTGGATATTAGATGGAAATAATACTTCTAAGCTTAATTTAATATCCTTAAATTTTTCTTAAAATTTATGTTCGATCTGATTTACTGAATTTTACCTAACTTTAACACTTTACAACTTTTGACATAAATTTCGGATCAAAAATCTGATTCCCATCAAAACATCATTTTGGGGGTGAACTATTCGTTTATGGGGTTAAAACCTAACTTTGGAAAATTACACTATTGATCTTTAAACTTTTTGAAAACTATCTTTTAGTCCCTATACTTTTATAAACTTTATACTTTAACCACTAAACTTTCATAATTTACATTTTGACCACTGACTCAAATTTTGGGGTGTTACACGACCCTTGCCTATCCCTAGGTAGGCTAATTATTTAGGCTAATATAATACAAAGTAATTTTTTAGAAATTTACGGTATTTATCATAGTGATTTAAAGCTCGTCAAGTTGACGTGATGAGTTCTAATAAATATCTCTTATTTAACTTTTTTATTTCGATGTGATAAATTTTAATAAAAAAATATTTTACCTGAACTCATGTTGACATGATAAATTTAAATAAAAAAATATTATTTGAACAAACTCGTCACGTCGATGTGATAAATTTACTTTATACTATAATATTTACTGTAAATTATAAAATAAATTTCGAACTGATCTATTGTGCCGATTAATTTTTTCGCCTAGTCTAATGGTAAAAAAACAAAAAGGATATGGCATGGACTATACTTGTATTTTTTTCAGCAATTAAAGGAAACGTTTTTCTATATTTCATATGAATTTTATGATTGTGGTTTTAAATGATATTGTCTTTAATATCTAAGTCTATATTTTCTTTTCGTAATGTGACTTATTGATATATTCGACACTTGTTGATATAAGTAAAACATTTATACTTTTTATATATTGAATTTTAAACTTTAAAAGTTTTATGTTTAAAGTGCATTTTCTATTATAAAATCATAATTATCTCAATTTGTTTATAATCATAATTATCTAAAAATAAAGAAAATGCTATTATAAAATAAAGAACAAAAAACCCCGCATAAAAAATAAAATATAGGGTTTGGGTTTGGGTTTGCGTTTGCGCCTCGTTTCCAACTGCCCAGTGCTCGCCTCAAAACCTTAGCAGGAAATCGAAAAATCTCACCGCCACCGCCGTCACCGTCACCATGGGTCGCATGCACAGCCGCGGGTACCCTTCTCTCTATATATACTGGCATTTCCTACGTATACTTATTCACATAATAACGTTTTCTTCTCTTCCACTTTGATACAGTAAGGGTATTTCTGCCTCAGCACTGCCGTATAAGAGGACTCCACCCAGCTGGCTCAAAATCTCTTCTCAAGATGTAAGCTCCTTAACCCCTTTTTTTTTCAGATTCTCAGCTGACAGAAAATCCCATTGAAATTTTCTTATTATTCGATGTTAAATCTTCTTAGGTCGAGGACAACATTTGCAAGTTTGCAAAGAAGGGCTTGACACCATCTCAGATCGGTGTCATCCTTCGTGATTCTCATGGTATTGCTCAGGTTAAGAGCGTTACTGGAAGCAAGATCTTGCGTATCCTCAAGGCTCACGGTAAATTGCAGCACAATATTTTGTTCTTCCAAGTTCCGATTAGCTTAATGTTTAAGCTGTAAAACGTTCATTTGGGTGATAGTCGTTCGATTTGAATTGGCTTGGGGGAAAATTGATCAGTATGTAGTATTTTGGTTTTCAAAAACCCCCCAAACCAAACTGAATATAAAAATTAACTGAACCAAAAACGGACTCGAAACCGAACTGAACACTACGGTTAGCATTGGTTCTTGGTTTTCAAAATTATGTCTTTAGCTTAGCTCTAATATTCACTGCTCATTTATTGATTCGAAAGGTCTGGCCCCTGAAATTCCTGAGGATTTGTACCACCTTATCAAGAAAGCTGTTGCCATCCGCAAGCATTTGGAGAGAAACAGGAAGGACAAGGATTCCAAATTCAGGTTGATCCTTGTCGAGAGCAGGATTCACAGGCTCGCTCGCTACTACAAGAAGACAAAGAAGCTTCCTCCTGTCTGGAAATAGTAAGTCTATGAATCGATTCATAGCTTTATACTTGTGTCCTGTCGGTATATTGATTTATAGTTCCATTTTAATGTTATGGTCCAAATAGAATTTACGTGTTGGTCAACTAATATACGTTTGGTTGGATTCCTTTATGCTTGTTATGTTTGTCTGGAGATGCAATGAAGTATGTTATGATGGTATTAAGTCATCTCCATATTTGCATAATCCCTTCACAAAATGGCTGTTCATGTACTTGGTCTTATATTGTGATTTTTAATCGAGTCAATAGCCGGTCCACTCTAGTTCTCTGTTATGCAGGATGGGGCTTAGCATAGGGTGCTCAAATCCATTTCTATGGTCGGAGTTTGGGGGAGAGTTGTTAGAATACATACAAACGTTTCATTAAGTAAACAGGATTGTTTTTTGCCGCCATTATTTTTAAATACGGAGTCCCATCATTTGATCATGCGTGTGTTGGTTTCGTTTTGATTGAATTACTTCATTTTGTAATGTTGTTGATTGCGGATCACCATGTCTGTCTAGTGGTCTATCATTCCTGTGTGTATATGCTCCTTTTTTTTTCTGCATTATGTTGGAGTACTGATTCAACTCATTGGTTTGCAGTGAGTCTACAACTGCCAGCACTCTTGTTGCCTAGATTTGGCATGTATGTAGTGCAATTTGGGGCATCCTCGTGATTCAACATTGTTGCACCGAGCATGTTAGATTGCATTTTCCTTTTCCGGCAAGTTGGGTTTTGATGTAAGACTATTAATAGATGTTAAAAGGTTTTGTTGACTGAAAAGAGAGTTAAGAACTCATTTTTGTGTTCAATTCTATTTCGTATTTAAAGTTCAACCATTAAACTGGATTTGACGATAACTTATTGCCTAGTAAGTAGGGGTGCACAAAAAATCCGAATATCCGATTTTACGAAAAAAATATCCGAAACCGGATTTGGGAAAAACCGGTTTTTTTTAACCGGATCGGATTTTTTTAAACCGGTTATTTTAACCGGTTTGGAGAAAAAAACCCAGACCGGTTTTTTTATCGGATAAAAAACCGGTTTGAAAAAAACCGAGTAAAAAATCGGTTTTTATCTGAAAAAAAAACCGGTCTGGATTTAAAAAACTAGCCTAATATAGCCGTTTGTGACCGTTTTTTTCTTTAAAAAATTACCATTTTACCACCCTAAACATGTATAAATAGGTTGTGGATGTATTTGGTTGATTACAATTTTCTCAAATCTTATTACACAACACTTAAACATCTCTCAAATCTTAGTTTTGTAATTTTTTGTTCATCATGAGTAACACTGTTGAATCTTTCGTCGGGGGAAACCTTGAAGTCGTGAGAGTGATCGAACACACTCGAAACAAAGATATTTGGGATCACTACGATTTATGTGAGATGTCAAATGGCTCGAGGAGGGCGCGTTGTAAACTTTGTCTAAAGTTTCTTGCATCGGAAGGAAACACAACGTTTAAGAACCATTTGACAAAATCATGCAAGGCACTTCGCTCAAGATCGGATCCTAGTCAATCGAATCTTACACCGCAAGGTGGTGTTTTTGTTTACGACAACGAAAAATTACGAGAAGCGTTTACAAAGTTCGTGATTACAAAAGCATTGCCGTTCGACCACTTTGATGATGAAGATTTCACGACAACAATTCAACAACTAATGCAACCACGTTATACTCAAGTAAGTCGTACTACCCTTAGAAGAGATGCTATAAAAATGTGGCGTACGGCGAGGGAAAAAAATGATTTTAGTATTCCAAGAACACCGTTATGGTGTGTCGCTTACATGTGACGTTTGAAGTTCCCCTCATAATACCGAAAATTCTTTTTTAGCCGTTACGTCACATTGGTTAGATCAAGATAATTGACAAATGATGAAAAGAACAATCGCGTTTGAATTATTCAGTGAGCCGCATACCGGTGCTAATTTATTTACACTTTTAAAACGGGTAATTTGTCTTTATAAATTAGAAAATAAAGTTTTTTCTATATCCTTTGATAATGCATCGAATAATACAAACGCGGTTCCAAGATTGAAAATATTACTTTCACCGATTTTAGACGGTGCGTTTTTTCATATCCGTTGCGTTGCACACATAATTAATTTATCCGTGCAAGCCGGTTTGGAGGTTATTGAGCCAATTAGATTAGAATTTAAAACAATGATAAAATCGATTCTTTGTAACAACAACAAAAGACTAAATGATTATAAACGATTTTGTAAGTCTGTTAATAAAAAAGCTTTGGGTCCTAATTTGGATTGTCTAACTCGTTTGAACTCAACTTGGATGATGATGCATACTGCCTTAAGGCAAAGGGAAACATTGCAAACATTTCACGATCGGCTTTTCGAGAGGGGTCATGTCCCAAACATTTATCCGAATTCGAGTTGGGAAACTATAGCCAAAATAACTGATTTGCTTGAGGTTTTTAAAAATGCAACAACTTTTTTATCCGGTGTTTATTACCCTACTAGCCCGTTGGTTCTTAATCAAATATTTTTGTTGGCTACCCGACTAAATGACTTTGAATTTGAAACCGAAGTTTTTCAAGAAATTGACTTTGCAATGAAGGAAAAACTTTTAAAATATTTTAAGGAGATTCCCCCCATTTTTACTTGTGCATCCGCTTTAAACCCAACGTTAAATGTTGGTGGGGTTGAAACACTAATTGAACAAATTGCGTTTGCTTTTAATCTAACCGATGATGAACCCAACTTTGTCCAAAACCAAATAAATTATTTTAACAAATGTTTTCGAGACATGTTTGCAATTTATTTAACTAAATACGGATCAAGTAGTGTAATACACGATCAAATAAGAATGAATGCGGAATCATCTAGTAGACGTCCAAGTAACATAAATTTGAATCTTTTTAACACTCTTGTAAATTCACAATCCAAACGATCACGTACTACCACCCCAAGTAGTGAGTTGGGAAATTACATGTCATGCGATTTTCTATCAAAAATGACATTTGAAGAGTTTGAAAGTTTGGATATTTTGGCTTGGTGGAAAGAAAAGGAAGCACAATTTCCGATTCTAGCCGCCATGGCCCGTGATTTACTAACCGTCCAAGCTTCTACGGTAGCTTCGGAATCCGCTTTTTCTGTTAGTGGCAGGGTTATATCACAACGGAGATCAAGACTAAGTCCCGAGTCGGTGGAAGTATGCATTTGTTTAAAGGATTATTTGGATGGAGCGGCTCGTAAGCAACATATCACCACCCTAGAAGATGCAATTGATGCCGATTTGGAAGCAAACTTACACATTGAAGAAGTCGAACTTGGAATATTCCCTCCAAACGAAGAAGGCGAAGATGATGAAGAAGAGATGGCAATGTAGTTTATTTTATAACTTTATTTCAATTATCGTAAACTTTGTTTCAATTATCGAACTTGAAGTTTTTAAGTATTTGAATTTATCGAATTTGGAAGTTTTTAAGTATTTGAATTTATCAAACTTGGAAGTATTTAAGTATTTCAATTATGTTGAGTTAATTAAGTATTTCAATTAAGTATTTGAATTTATCGAACTTGAGGTTTGATGCTTTCTCTTTGATTCTTTCTTGATTCTAGTTGCTTGATGTTTCTTGTCTTTGATCAATGGCTTCTAAGCTTGCTTAAATACACCTTGAATCACTTCTGAACGTTAGTGATAATTAATGAAGATAATATAGCCGTTTAAGTGTGAAAACATTTAATAAAAATGCTTGGAGCGTGGGGGAATCGGTACCCTCTCATAGGGAATCGGTTTCCTCTCATAGGGAATCGGTTCCCTAAGTGTAAAATTCAAATATTTCGACCGTTGAATAGGGGGAATCGGTACCCCTATGGGGGAATCGGTTCCCTCCGAGCATTCTGGAAATCTTGGAGCCAAACCATTCAGTGAGGAATCGGTACCCCCTTGGGGGGGAATCGGTTCCCTATGAGCAATCTGAAATATTAAAATCGGTTTTTTTATAACCGGTTTTTAAAAAAACCGGTTTTTTTAAAACCGAAACCGGTTACACCGGTTAGGATATCCGGCCCTCCAAACCGGTTAGAAACCGAACCGGTTATTTTATAAACCGGTTTTTTTTCTATGAGAAAAAACCGGATCGGATAAAAACCGATCCGGATCGGATTGAAATCCTAATTATGTGCAACCCTACTAGTAAGTCATTAGACGAGAGATGAATCAAAGTCTAATTGCTAGAGTCACGAATTCATTTGAAGAACACTTGTGTTATATATTCTACAACCCCATCACCGAGAACAAATAGATAATCAGGAAGATGATTCTTGAAAGTTAGTAATCAGCAGAGGGGCTGAAGACCGCGAGCGACCGAGAGAATTGAAGGTGAATGTTCGAAGTCTCGACGTCCAAGTCTCACCCCACATCTCATGCGACAAGTCGATGTTGAACGGTGTTTTCCTGCTACATTTTCATCGGAAGCCACCACATTGTGCTACACTTTCCATATGGAACAAGTTGATCTCGAATGTGTTTAGATTGTTGACTTGTAATGATAAAACGGAGTCGAAAATTTAAATTCGAATAAGAATTTACAGGTCTATATATCACTTGTGAACTCTGATTTATATTGAGCTCGCTATCAATGTGCTCAAGCCCGAGGATCCTATAAATTTACGTTTTCTACACCAACGACCAAATGCTACGTTCCCGCGGCAACACTAAAGGAAAACCCTAGTAAAACCCACATCAAACAAAAGCAAGTGGAGATAAAATGGTGGTAGGGCTTAGGCAATTCACGGCGAGAGTCGGCAGCGGCGCCGGAGAGCCAGTTCTTGATACAGATAAAGGCGAGGAGCTCGTTCATGTCCAACCTTCCGTCTCCGTTTCACTCGGAAATCGTGCCCCGGAATCGCCGGGAACTCTCTACATCACCACTAGGTACCTTCAAATCTACCTGCGAATACTCTAATTATTTCTTGTGAAATCATTATTTCAATTGCATTTTAGACCGATAATATATGATTTCATTTTTTTTGTAGGCAAGTGGCTTGGCTGAGTGACTTGGACGGAGCAAAGGGCTACGCCGTTGATTTCTTGTCTCTGTAGCTGCACGCTGTTTCAAGGGACCCCGAGGCCTACCCTTCTCCCTGTATTTACGCTCAGGTTTTCATATGCTTCTCTTGCTCGATTTTCTTGTCTGCCCAGAAAACTAACTCCCTTTGCTATCCTTAAGTTCTTCGAATATTACGATGATTTTAGTTGTTAATCGTGCTTATGCATTCAATAGCATCACCTTTTTTTTTCTCTTTGGCTGTTTGGTAGCTTGCTTGCAAATAAAATTTGGTTGATTACTGAGTAGAAAAGGACAACAGAACTTGGTGATACTTACTACCTGGCTGATGAACCAAGCAGTATTGTTTTAAGAAAAAAAAATCCGATCTCATTAAGCTTTTTAAAAATATGGGTTGAATGAGAGTTAAACAATAAAGAAGGCTAGGTCCGCAAACGAACCGAATGAACACAAACGGGGTATGTTCATGTTCGTTCGTTTAACTTTAACCAAACAAATGAACGAACACAAACATAAACGAACAAAAAATTTATTGTTCGTGTTCGTTCGTTAAGGAATGTAGATTATTTGTGTTCGTTCATTTAAATGATAAACGAACACAAATGAACGAACATAATCAACGGATGTAAATGAACATAAATGAACACAATAAACGAACACAAACAAACGAACATAATAAATGAACATAAACGAACGTAAACGAACACAAACCACAACAACAATAATCATATAAAATTCATTAGCATAAGTTTCAACTTCATAGTTAATTTGTATTTAATTGTTTTGGCCTTTTTTATTTGTATTTAAAATTAATTGATTTTTAAAGTATTAATGGGTATCAAATTAAAATGTATTGGGCCTTAATATTTTAAATGGGTCTAGATAGATTGGGCTAAACATAAATAAATAAACGAACATAAATGAACAGAAACGAACGAAAATAAGCGAACATATTATCGTACGTTCACGAACGTAAATGAACGAACAAGTCATCTATTCTTGTTCGTTCATTTAATTAAACGAACATAAAATCTTGTTCATGTTTATTCGTTTAATAAATAAATGAACATAAACGGACTTCCTGTCTAACGGTTTGCTGAACGTTCTGTTCGTTTAGAGGCCTAAAGAAGGCTCTAAACTCTTGTTAAAATTTAAAATGCAGTGTTATGACTTCTCTGTATATTTTCAGTGGCGATATTCAACGTTTCTGCTTCCCGTTAAGTGCGTGTAGTACGTGTTTTTTCTCATTTACTAAGTGAGCTCCCTTTTTCTTTTTCCTCCATGTTAAGTTGTAGATGCCATGGTTTTTTTATGTCCTTCATCCACATGCTCTTTTCCTCCCTTTATACATTGTCTGATCAATGATGTTTTGTCTAAAGATTGAAACTGATGATGATGAAGTGGAAGACGAGACTGAGGAATCGGATTCAGAACGCCGTGAGGTTTTAGATTTATATAAGATCAGAGAGATGAGGCTTATTCCTTCAAATGCTAGACAATGTGTGTATCATTCAGTATTTTCCTCTACTAGTTCTTATATTGTTGTGTCTCTAGTTGCAATGAATGCTGGCTTTTATATGTATCTATTTGTTCTGTATAAGTGGATACTCTGTTTCAAGTATCCTGCGAGTGTGCTGAGCTAAATCCGGAGCCTATCGAAGGTGAGTTCCAGTTATAAATTGGGAACTCTTTTTTCTGTTGTATGAACGTTTTCCTTTCACTGAATGAGCGGGGATTTACTGCTTTTGTTTATGCTTTATTTAGAAGGAGAAGGACATAATTGGATTTTTAGTGCTGATCAGTTGCAAGATGAAGCTGGAGTTATGGGATAGACAACATGGATACGTTCTTGAATTTCTTTCATATTGTATCTCCAGAGGTTGATGACTCGGAATGGCATTTCTCCGAGAATCTGACAAACATAATCGGTCATTCTGATGGTTATCATGACCTATCTCGAAATGTGCTTGAGGTGAGCCACTTACCTATTAAACTCTTGCTTTTTTATTTGCTTTTTGGGCTTGTTTCATTCATCCCATTTCTGCCAAAAAAAAAAAAAACCCCCACTTGCAGCTTCAAATCAATGATCAACGCTTTGAGGATGCGGAAGAGATGGAAGAAGTTACTGACAGCAGTAGTCATCATCAGCCACGGTGAGCTCCCTTGTGCTATTTGCTGGTCAATTCATAAGGAGGACATTCAAAGTAAGGCAAAGTTGTTGATTTTTCATTTTTGCTTTGTGGAAAAATATAATCATTGAACTTTCAAACCGTTTTAATTCAAAATATAGCATAGACTCTTCAACTTTGAAACCCCCTAACACATGAAATTCTTCATGAACTTGCACGTTACATCTTGAATCTTGACGCCTTGTTTATTTGTTTTTTATATTAGTTGTTGACCAGTAATAAAATTACATGTTTGTTTTGATCGTGAGAAAATTGAATGGGAATTCAAACTTTAAATATAGCTAACAAATTTATAATAAATTACATTAATAAAGCGATGAATAATTTGTATACGAATTTATTAATTTTTTTTTCACTCTTTAAGTAATAATTATTAATTATTTCATTTAAAGATTATGTAAAAATAAAAAAAATAGATATATTATTTTAATTATGTCTATTATCGTTTTAAAATATATTTTTGTAATTTTTTTAAAACTGAATTGATGTCACAAGTATGGGTTGTTTGTTTGCTTCTTAATGGAATCGTTAAGCGTTGAATGTTGAACCGTTTAGCATTCAGCGCGTTTGTTTTGCACTTCTGAATGATACAATGTTGATTGATTCAGTAAAATAGTGTTGAATGATTCAGCACAGAAGTACATTCTGAATGATTCAAAGTCATTATCAAACAGCATGTCACATTCAGAACTAATTCATTCAAAGTCTTTGAATCATTCAACGTTTAATCATTCTGAAGTAAATAAACATCCGCTAAATATAAAGAAATTATAGAGTGACCCAATTTATTGTGCGGGACCAAATTTGGGTAGATGGACCAAAAACACAGATTTTGACCTTATTTTAATAATACTACAACTTTTGCGTGGGAACTGCGAATTGCTATATAAGTCTATTTCCTCTGCTTTTTGTATTTCTAGCAGATTACTAAATAATGTCCACCTTCTACGTTAAGGTTGCTGTTCTCGACGGTGATAGCTGTTTGTGGCAGCACGATGGACTCACCAATTCCATCATCACCAAAGCGTCAGCCACTCTTATGGTGGCAACGCTGGTAATCATCTGTTTCTCACGGTGGGCCAAGAAATTCATCATCAAAATCGAACCGCCACAACCCCCGGGTCCCCCTGGCTTGCCTATAATCGGAAACCTACCGTTCATCAAACCCGATTTCCTTCAATACGTCACCAAACAATCTCAAATCTACGGCCCCATCATCAAGCTTCGCATGGGAAGCAAAATTTACATAGTCATAAGCTCACCTTCAATCGCCAAAGAGATCCTCAAAGACCACGACACCACCTTTGCCAACCGCGACGCTCCGGCGGCAGCCATAAATGGATACTACGGTGGACTCGACATCGTGTGGAGATCCAACGGACAGGAACTTCATAAGCTGCGTAAGCTTGTGGTTCGCGAAATTATGTGCAACAAAGGGCTGAACGCTTGCTACGAGCTCCGTCGGCGCAAGATTAGACAGATGGTGAAGTACATACACGGGAAAATCGGCTCCTCCATTAACCTTAGTGAGCAAATTTTCTTGGCCACGATGAGTGTCACCATTAGCACGCTGTGGGGTGATTCGTTGAACGAAGAAGAAGCAAAACGTGTGGTTGAATTCAAGGAACGATTAGAGGAATTTGTGGGATTAATCGGAGCACCAAACGTTTCTGATATATTCCCGGTTCTCAGGCCGTTGGATTTACAAGGGATTGAATCCAAAACCAAGAAGCTTTTGTCGTGGTTTTATGAGTTTTTAGAGTCCGTAATAGAACAGAGAAGGAAGGCCGGAGAAGCAGAACAACAGGAGGAAAGCAAAGATTTTCTGCAACAATTGTTGGAGCTGAACCAAAGAGGAGATGCCAAAGCCTCGTTGTCCATGACGGAAATCAAAGCTTTGCTGCTGGTAATGTAATTTTACCATGAATTTTGACGTAATTTCATACTCTATGCTATGAGTATTTAGTCCAACTAATTAATTGGGTCATTATACTAATTAAAAAAATCATTAAATTTATAAAACTTTTACATTCGTTATAAAACTACAGTGACTATTTTAATATTTTGAGAAATTTTAATAACTGTTTTATATCTTTGGAAAGTTTAGAGATGAAATAATGATTTGAACATAATTCAACGACCTCTTGTATATTTTACCCATTATAATTTGACTAAGTCGATTCACTTGTCAACTCAGATGATCAACTTTGATTCTTAAAATTATAAATATTTTGAAATAAATAAAATCTTTGCTGATGTTTAATGTTCGATATTGAAAGAGAGATTCTTTGACCATAATATTTGCGGGTATAGGATATGATAGTCGGCGGTACGGACACAACATTCACAACAATGGAGTGGGCTATGACGGAATTACTACGGCACCCCGATAAACTGAAAAGAGTCGCCGACGAATTAGATGCAGTAGTCGGCGGCCAAAACGTCGTCGAAGAAACTCATCTCCCTCGGCTGCGCTACCTGGAAGCGGTGGTGAAAGAAACATTTCGAATCCACCCACCGGCTCCCTTGCTACTGCCGCACATGGCTGGCGAAACCACCGTCGTAGCTGGTTACACAATCCCCAAACATTCCAATGTTTTCTTCAACGCGTGGGCAATACAAAGGGACCCTGAGCTCTGGGAAAATCCTCTCCGATTCGAGCCAGAGAGATTCATGAGAGAATCAGAGAAAAGGAATTATCTGGGGAACAGTTTCCATCTCTTCCCGTTTGGATCGGGGAGAAGAATTTGCGTCGGGATTCCTCTAGCTGAAAAACTGATAATGCATATTTTGGCGACGCTGGTGCATTCTTTTGAGTGGGTGTCGCCGGACGGCAAGAAACCGGACATCAGAGACAAGCTCGCGTTGGTCTTGTCGAAGGTGGAACCACTCTTCGTGGTTCCAATCGCACGTTTACCCAACTCACAGCAATACGAATAAGTAGTTGGTTAGTCCCTTTACTCTCCTTCTATTAATAAATTAGATCCCAATAAATATATGTATCTTAAATCGAGGAGTACTTTGGGCTTTATCTCACGTTCAGAATTTCAAAAGGCAATCAGGTTTAATAACATTTTAGGTCCTTATTAGTTTAAATTTAAGTACAATTGGACTTTTACTCCCTAAATTTTTATATTAAATACATAATAAGTCCTTATTATTTTTGAAATTAAGTACATTGTCCTCCCAATATTTGGTCTTAACTCCGTCCCTGGTGAAAGGTATTTAAGTATTTATTGTCAAATAAATTAATAGTATTTTTCAGATAGATACTACTGTCGAGCATTTTTTTCTACTAAATTTAATAGATGTGGATGATTGAGACATAAAAGTTATTTAGAGTGAGAACAATCATACCTATAAATCCTTAATGAAGAAAAGTATTCCCTAAATAATTGGGGTTTGAGATGTTTAATCAAGTACCCCTGAATTAATTAACGACAAATTAATTTTCCACGTCATTTCCATACACTTTACCACCATCTTTTTTACACAAAAATAAAAGAAAGTGTTGGTTTTTGTTTGTGATCATTTTGTCAAGTTAATTATGGGACCCCAAAACCCTTTTTGTGTTTTCATCTCCAACACTATATTGTAAAAACTAGGGTAAAGTACACAAACGGTCCCCGTTATAAGATTTTTTTTGTTGAGCACTTCAACTATCAAAAGTTACGCAATGGTCCCTTAACTATAGGCTTTGCTTTGTTGAGTCCCCCAACTACTAAAAGTTATAAAATGATTATCTGACTATTCATATGTTCAACTAGTCATTTTCTGTTAAAAATTTGATGATCGTCTGAGTTGGATGTTATCTTTAAAATCGAGATATGATAAAATCTGATCCCAGGACCATTTGAGTTGTTTCATGGATCAACTCTCCCTTTACATTATGCCACCAAGCCAATGCTTAAAAGAAACGACGATGCCAACATACATCATAAAAATATGTTTTTATCATATCCCAAATAATAGATTAATATCCAACTCATACGACTGTCAATTTTTTTACTGTAAAATGACGAGTTGGAAAATATGAATAGTCGAGTGACCATTTTGTAACTTTCAATGGTCGGTGGATTCAAAAATTGTTTTATAATCGGGGGACCATTGTATAACATTTAATAGTCGAGAGACTAAAAAAAACAATGTCCTATAATCGAAGACTATTTGTATACTTTATCCTAGAAACTATTACAAAGTCATGTCTTAATTTTGTGGATTCTTTTTATTATTATTCACAATCATTTCACCTCGACATGCATCATTTTTAGGGCAAGCTTTTTATTAAATCATAGTACAAGAATTTTAAGCTTTAAAAAAAACTAATATAAGAATCATTACTAATTTGGCTTCAATTTCAAGCCAAAAAAAGAACAAAACGTGCTTATGACTGATGAATTACATGTCCATGACCTTTTCACCATCATGAAAGGGATGAATCCGCATATTTAGCGAGTTTCGTATGATCAGATACAGATATAAATATTATGAATAAATATTAATTTTGATAATTGATTATGTTTTGTACGAAATATTTTATATTCGATTAAAATAATTTTTGTGGGTTTGTACTAAAAATAATAATTTTTGCGGGTTTGAATAAGAATAGAAAAGTTTAGAGTGATTATAAGGTAGTGTTTATTCAGAATCCTTCTCAGTCAATGATATTATGCAAACACAACTACTCGAACCCAGAACCTCTAAAGAAAACAATATCCCTTTTATCATTGAAACCGCTTGATAATTTCATGCAAGAGACAATTATAAGATACGACACAATTGATCATGCAATATTTGATCATTTTAAACGAACGAATATGTAGATCATCAGTCGGAAAATATCTTTAAATTCTTTTAAAATCAAGTGAATGATGTAGCAGGACAATTATTGAATTGTATACGGGGCGATGAGTGAAATTGAAACGGTTGTGGCTAAATTGATTGCATGCCTAGCCATTCACATATGTGAATTAATTCGACACTTAATATTTTTCCACCTTACTGCCTGCCTTCTTTAATTATTTACCGGCCTTAACAAGCTGTACGTAATGAATGCACAATATATAATATTCTTGTATAGCACTTAGGAGACCAAAATAAAAATTTCAACTGCCAATTTAAACGCTCACACTCATTTATAAATTGAAGTTGGATCGAATAATATGCAGTTGGATATCCTTTAATAATACTTAGCATTCGAGATTTATGAATAAGAAAAAAGAATGATGATGATTTTATCATCATTATTTGTGGGTTCAATCTAACAAAATCTGTAGATGGCAGCTTAAAGAGGAAGGCAGCGTAGATTTTTCCCACCTACTACATAGACATTTCCCCTCTATGCAGTCAAAACTATTTTGCCTTGTCAATTAAATATCCAAGCTTTACGTCAATGCATGGGGAAATCATTTCACTTTATATCAATGTCGTCCCTGCTTGCAGCGCAAATTACTCCGTGATTACCGCTTCATTCCCCTATCCTATCCGCCTATGCTCGAATCCACTTCCCACTTGTGCTTTCAGATAAATCATGTTTTAATTTCGTCTTTTTACGTTATATACAACTATGGATTAAATTGGATGTTAATACGATGACTGTGATATATTAGTGGTTGAATATTTTAGGATCATATTAGATATAAAATAATTTTAAGAGCAAATGAATACCAGTAAACTAAATTAATTTAATTTGATTTGAAAAACTTTACGAAGGAGTCGAAAGGTATGGTCGTATACAATTTATGACCTGAATTTTGTCAACCTAAAAAGCTCGTGCCCGCGTCAAAGTCGAAGAATAAATAATGGTAGACGAAGAAGCTCTCTCCATGCCCCATATATACCTAACATATACTTTCATAGGCTTTAATGCTACAACCTTAACCATTTTGTATTGAAATCATTTGGTCCTAATTTTATACATATGGTATTGTTTTAGTATCCAATAATTTTATGAATTTCAATTATATATGAAGTTAGAGTCATATTATATTTTTAAACCAAAAATAAATATATTAGATGTAAGTAAACTTTGACTTGAGCAATCAAAATCAACCTGTATCGCACGTTTAATTTTAGTGAATAAGTCTTCTGATAATTTTTTTTACATATATAAATATTCAACCTTAAAATTTTATTTAAATAATATAAATTATTTACCATTTGGACCAACACCATATTATTTTCTGGCGCTCTTTACTAAGTTGATAAGATAATATCAGATCGGATCATAATGATATGATCAAATGTCCCCACTTCGCCTCTCTTCACTAGGAAGAATCTACCCGCAACTCAATGCACCATCAAAATTATAATTTTTTTTTATACTTTTAGAAAGCCACAAAGTGTAAAATTTAAAATATTATATAATTTTTACTCCATTTTAAAAATTAAATTCCCTCCCCCTCTTCCACCGTTTGTCTCTCTCTATATAAGCTTATAATCACCGTTCACCGAGAGTAATCTCGCGCTCGCATTTCCAATTTTTTCTCTTTCTACAAAAAACACAGTTTTAGAAAATGCACCGTGTACAGGTGCTGCTCAGCCTCGTCGCGGTAGCTACACTGGTGGTGGTGGTGGTAACTCCGGTTACCGGATATCGCCCATGGCCGTACTTAAAACCCAACAGCTCCGAATTAATGTTCGGTAGCTCCAAAAAATACGAGGGCTCATCGGAGTTTGTCCATATGAGATACCACATGGGACCAGTCCTCACCGCCAATATCACCATTTACCCAATCTGGTACGGCCGGTGGCAGAAATCCCAGAAGAAGATCATCCGAGGGTTCATCAACTCGATCTCCGCCGTTGATTCCAAGCACCCATCGGTGGCCGGGTGGTGGAAGACGGTCCAGCTATACACGGATCAAACCGGGGCCAATATTTCCCGTACCGTGCTTTTGGGTGAAGAGAAAAACGACCGTTTTTACTCCCACGGGAAGTCTCTCACACGCCTTTCTTTCAATACAGCCGGTGATAAAAAGCGCGGTGACCGCCCGTACGAAACCGTTGCCGATAAACCCAAAGAGCGGGGTATATCTCCTTCTAACATCCGACGACGTGTACGTCCAGGATTTTTGCGGCCAAGTATGCGGGTTCCATTACTTCACATTCCCGTCGATCGTGGGGTACACGCTGCCGTACGCATGGGTGGGAAACTCCGCCAAGCTTTGCCCGGGAACCTGCGCCTACCCTTTCGCCGTGCCGACGTACATGCCGGGGTTAAAGCCGTTAAAGTCACCCAATGGTGACGTGGGAGTCGACGGGATGATTAGCGTCATTGGACACGAGGTTGCCGAGCTGGCAACCAACCCACTGGTGAACGCTTGGTACGCGGGACAAGACCCAGTGGCTCCGGTGGAAATAGCGGACCTGTGCGAGGGAATTTACGGAACCGGAGGTGGTGGGTCGTACACGGGCCAGTTATTGAACGGTAGGGATGGCGCCACGTATAACATGAATGGGATCAGACGGAGGTACTTGGTTCAGTGGGTCTGGAACCACATCGTGAGTTACTGTACTGGGCCTAATGCGCTTGATCAATAATTTTTACTACTATTTCTTCGTTATTTTTTGGAAACTAGCGTTTCTGTCTTGGCATTTTGTCTTGTCTGTTTAGGACAGTTTTTGCTTTTGCCTGTGTGGGTCGGGGATTCTGTCGATGAATGGATTAGTTAAGGTAGTTAAGTTTGTTAAATATTTACTTTTGTAGTAATAATTTTGATGTTTCTTATATACTACTTCCCTATACCAATAGATCATGGTAAGAGTGGCGGATGAAAGAGATAAGCCTATGAATGTATCAGCGAGTGCCTGCTCATTACCTGATAATATTAATGTCTTGCCAGAACAGACGATAATGGCTATAAAGTTTTGCTTCTAGTACACAACCGCACAATTACAGTAGTATGCCATAACTGATGATCATCACTGCAGCTCAACCAATATTAAAAATGGCAGTCTCACTCAACTCGACCAAACTGTGCTACTCGGGCTCGGTTGTGATTAGATAGCTCATAAACCCTTTCTCCAGCACTACCATAAATGGAATGGCTCGACATGGGGAACCGTGTATGGGCCATCTCTCTGTTAGGATTTGGCAAATCACGAAAGCCCAGTGTTGTGTATACTGAACCCCTGTGGACTGAACTGCCGATAGATTTTATCATTGAAGTTGTGGGTAAGCCTGCGATGCTAGTGCCGAACCAGACCCCCACAGATTTTTCCAGATCCAATAACAATTAATACAAGTTTTTATTACCTTGTCCGTAGTTTAGTTTATAATTTATGTCAATTATTATGGAAGTCAAAATAAAAGGAAGCGGGTACACTTGAAAATAGATTATTTCTTTATTAAGTCTCTCGATTGTTAAAAGTTATAAAATGATCCTCTAATTATAGAAGATTTCTTTGTTAAGTCCGTCGACTATTAAAAGTTGTAAAATAGTCACTTGACTATTTATTATGTTTCAAACGCATCCATTTCAGTTAAAAAGATGATAATTGTCTAAGTTGAACGTTAATATGATGATCGAGGTATGATAGTCATTTGAGATTCTGGGGATCAAATTATATCATATCATTATTAGCAGGTTAACGTTTAGCTCATAATAAATAATCGGGTGACTATTTTGTAACATTTAATAGTCGAATGACTCAATAAAACAACACTATGTAATCAGGGGATCATTTTATAACTTTTAATAATTAAGAAACATAATAAAACATTATTTTATAATCATATCGAGGAATTTAATAAAACATTATCCTATAATTAGGGACCATGTATACTTTACCCAAAGAAAATTTAAAAAATGGCGTCACGACTCAACTACTTCCCCCTCCACCTGTCCTGGGAAAACTAAGATAATCGGTTTTTAAATTAAATCAATAAAATACAAATTTCACACAACCAAAGCATGACAGAATAGACACATACATGTATTGTAAAAATAATAATTACGGATTTCAAAATAAATAATAAGAAATAGATACAATTACTTCAAGCAATAAAACAAGTGTTGCTTTCATTTGTTATTTTCATTTCCATTTAATGCCTTTAAATTTTGGAGTATTTTTCATATATCCTTATTGTTTAACAAAACAAATTACATGTTTGGGATTGAAACATAAAATATCCATGAAAAGACAATTTTTTTAATCTATAAATATCAAGCGATCAACTAGGTTTAGGAATGGCAACGGGTCGGGTTTGGGGCGGGTTTTGCTCGCCCCGTCTCCAAACCCGAAATGAATCCCCATCCCCGACCCCGACCCGATCTCCCAAGGGTTTTTTATCGGGGCACCCCGTCGGGGATTTTTTTACCTCGTCCTCGAACCCGACCCAAAATATTATACTCAAACCAGAACCCGAACCCGAACCCGAAAATATTTTATATATAACTAATATAAAAAATATAAAATATTATATATATATAATTAATATAAAAATATAAAAAATTATTTATATATATATAATCGGGACGGGGCGGGAATACCTTGCCCCAAACCCTACCCGAAAAAATCCCCGAAAAAAATCTCCGAACCCAACCCGATATTATTCAACTCGACCCGACCCGAACTTAACCGGGTTTCGAGTTTCCTCATCGAGTTCGGGTCATACTGCCATCCCTAACTAGGCTTTAATATCGAAAGTGATGTCAATGTCGACAATCATTGTACCCATCATATGTAGGATTTTATCACTCAATTTCTTGTTTTAATTATTAACGATTATGATCATTTCATAAATTCTAAAAGTTTATAGTACAATTTATTTGATGAAAATATAAATTTAAAAACAAATAAAGATTCGACCTTTTTACTAAAAAAATCATCCTAACAACGAAATATTATATGTCAGGCACATTTTCTCTAAATATTATTGAATTAGCACACTTTCTCCAAATACAATGAATTTGGTTGCGAGATTTATCGGGCATCAATATTATTCCTATGAGTTGTAATATGCAAGCCCGAGTAAATATTTTAGTCTGTTCCTCGGAATAGTCTTCGCTCAACTGTCGAAAATTTGTAGCCAACCATGATAAATGTATTCGACCACCGTTGAAATTAGGCAGGATACCTCCAAGATACTTCTCGCACAAGGAACGCCAATCACCATCCCCACACCATAAATAACATTTCCATCTATCGGATGCCCCAAGTGTATGGAAACATCCTCTAACGTAATAGTATACTCCCCACATGAAAGATGAAATGTGTCTCTGGTCTCCAACTCCCAATTAGTACATAAATAAGGTTGATTTCAAGGTTACAATGTCCTTCATATTTTTCTATGTCATCGAATCTAGTCGCGGCTAAATACGGTCAGACACGATTCGGTATCTCTAACTTAACGTTACAAAAAATGCATTTAATTTACGGTCATTCACCTGATTAAATAAATAATATACAAATCAAAATAGAAACTAATACTAAAAAAATAACTAAATAAAACATTCATAATAAATCAAATTTAAAATTATTACTCTATCGGTAAAATGACTTAAAATATGAGTATCATCTAAATATATCAACCCACCTACCATTTTATAAATGCAAGAAAAAATAAAGAATTAATACAATAAAATAATAAACTATTAAATGATTATAATATAATAAAAAAAATAGCTTATAAAAATGATAACCATTAATTCTTTAAATTTGATAGAAGGATAAATAGAAAGAAGAATTATAATATTTTCATTTATAGTGTGAGTGTTGAAAGGGAGAGTGTATTTATGAGGGAGGGGGAGGGGGACGGAAGGTTGTGTGGTATTTGTGGCGGACGGTTGGATTTAAATGAAAGATTCGCGCCTTTTGTCAGCTCAGACATAACCCCGCGAATGCGTGCTTCATGATCCGCGCCTTCCAATGTAGTGCCAACTCAGATAGAATCCCGTGAAGTCACGCCTCATGATCTGCGCTTTCTACCGTGGTGTCAGCTCGGACATAACCCCATGAAGACGTGCTTCATGATCCGCGCTTTGTTAGAAAGGATGCTAAATCGGTAATATTTAAAGAAATGATGTATGACATGTAATATTTCGTTGTTAGGGTGATTTTTGAATAAAAAGGCCTAAATATTCGTGTTATATGCAATTTAATTAAATTAAGGTTTTTGTGTTCCTGCCAAATATGTAGAACTTTAGATTAGATTAAGATTAAATGTCACATAATTGTCGTGGGTCGTGTATGTTTATGCCGCCAAATGATCCTAGCACTCACCTACTCTATCTTTTTTTAAGGAAGTTTTTCAAATATTTTAATTAAGTTGCCTAAGTAAACAATTACCATATTCTAATATCCCATTTAAGGTAACCCAGCCCATCAAGCGTTTCAAGAAACAAATAAAAAAGAGATATTTAACTTTTGGTATGGGAACTTGACTTAAATGTTTCAATTTGACACTTAGAAGTTTTATTTATCTTGATTAGGTACTTAAATTTAGTTTTATTATTTAATTCGAGGCTTAAACTTTCTTTTGATTCGATTAAATACATAATTAGTCTTATTGGTTCAAATTACTACTTGATTTTGACTTTTTTTTGAATCTAATATGGTACTCATCGTTCCTTAACCAATTTGAATTAAGAAACCGAATCTGGATACCATTTTGAATAACGAAAATCAAATTGAAGTACCAAAAAGTACACATGGGGAAAGTAAATTGAAAGTCACAAACTATGTAAAAATGATTTTTTTTGTTCAACGACCTTTCGAATGTTATCGAATGGTCAAAAAACTTCTCAAACGATTATAAAACGATCATTAGAATTTATCAAACCGTTATAAAATCATATTTAAACTTATCAAACGATTATAGAATTATCGTTAAACTTATCAAAACTTTTTGATATTTTAACAGTGAAGGATACCTTTTTTTAACAATTTAGAAAATTTAATGATCAATTTACAACTTTTAAGAGATCGTTGATAAAAAATTATTTTTATATAATTTAATAACCTTTAGTGTACTTTAGCCAATATATATATTTACCAAAAAAGCCCACAGAAAGCCAGCAACACTTTTGCATAATCAAATCCCAGTGTCTTGCCAAAAAGGAACTCAAAGCTCAAAATCCCACTGAGTCGTAGCTTTTTGACACAAATCCATCTGAGAAAAGATATTGATTCTCTCTCTCTCTCTCTCTCTCTCTAAGACCCTACAGAGAGAAAACGCCATGGATGTGAGGAAAATAGTAATTGTGGTCGAAGAAGTAGAAGTATCGAGAACAGCACTTCGATGGAGTCTCCACAATTTGCTCCGATACGGCGACCTGCTGACTCTCCTCCACGTCTTCTCGGCAACGAAATCAATGAGCAAGAAGAAAGCCAGGATGCTTCGATTGAAAGGTTATCAGCTGGCTCTCTCCTTCAAGGAGATGTGCAACTCCAATTTCTTTAACGTGAGTGAGTCAACTCAGTTCTCTGTAATCACAGATTGAGACTTTTTCTTTTTTGATACCGGGAGAATTTTGTTAAACAGACAAATATTGAGATGATTGTGACGGAAGGTGACCAGGAAGGGAGAAAGATCGTAGCCATGGTGCGAGAGATTGGTGCATCTTCTCTCGTCGTTGGCCTTCATCGTCAGAGCTTTCTTTACAAGTGAGTCAACTCAACTCGGCTTCTTATGTTAATTATTGTTTAATAATTGTTTTTAGAGGTATACATTTTCCTGGGTGGTAGTTTTTTTTTATATAATAATATTTTAGGTCTTTTTTAATCTAAAATAAATTAATCATTTCTAATGTTTGATCCTAGTTCCGTTTCTAAATAGAATTAATTCTTAGGCTTCATCTCTCTTAGTGATTGATTCTACTAAAAGAAAATGCTTAGGATCACAAGAGACAGGCCCCAGGGTTGTACTTTAGGGTGAAAAGTTTTAGGCATTGTTCACTAAACTCGGCTTGGAGCATGTGGCTATGTCAATGGTGAAGAAACAGCCAAAAGAAAATTTAGGGTCCACCTTGTTTACTATATATATATATATATATATATAGTGGCAGTAACTGATGGGATGCTATTAGGATACCTTGACCCTCTTGTCGCTTAGCAATGGATGAGAAGTTCCCTGAACCCTAAAGCATGGGGCGGTTCTGAAATCATGGGCTAGCAACTCTTACAATGAACATAGTTAGACCACAAACTCATTAGCATACTATTTTTTTAATAGAATATTGTCTGCAATTTTTATTTTGTGTTATATTTGTGCTCTGCAAATATGATACACACACACTATCCTTACCACATATTAAAAACAATTCATTTTGATTTTACCCAAATCCAAAGTTTACAATTTGTTTGTGAATTTCATGAAATAGAAGAAGACTGACTCAAATCAGTGTTTTGAGTGGCAACAGGTTGGCATTGGCCCATGACGACAACATAGCGAACAGCTTGAGCTGCAGAGTACTTGCCATCAAACAACCAGAATTGGCACCAGTGAGGGGCAAGACCAGAGATATGATGCCCCTGCTTGACGGTTCAACTACCTTGGACTTTTCCCAAATTGAAATTTCGGGTTTGCAGTAAGATTTCAAACTCACCCTTTGTTTTTCTTTTCTTTTCAAAGCTACCCCATTTTTTTCTCACTATTGTTAATCCTCTTCTGCACAAACCGAGCGATCTCAATGGTATTGTTACTCCTTAAGGTCTCGGGTTCGAGCACCAAGAATAACAAGGTGTAAGAACATTCAATATCAAGAGTTATCTTTGAACCAATATTGCCTTATATTTACCCAAATTAATTTAAAAAAAAAATTGTTAGTCCTCTATGAGAGCCGTGACTTGCTCTGACCCGTGGCGGCTCATTCATTGCAGGGTACCGGACATTCCTACAAAAATCCCATATCGAATCTGTCCAAGCCCTTCTGCAATCATTTGGAGGTCGAGGAAAAAAAAGAGCTATTCAAATGAAGGTTGATGTTCAAACTTGGATCATTACAATCGTTATTATTGTATCTAAAATGCACATAGTTTGTGATCTAGTTTTCTCTACAACTTGGGTTCTTCTTACACAACATCAAACCACACCGAAACACAAAAAGGGAGGAATTGAACAGTGGAAATTGACACCATACAAAATTGTTGTCTACTTCGATCCATGAAAGAATGAGATTTTTTTATAATTCGAACTTTTAATCTTACTTGAAAGATTAATAAAAAATAATTTTAATTATGTTATTATTGTTATTCTCCATCGAACAGTTGTTGTATTAGTTAATGCATTAATACTGTGGTCCTAATCAAAATCAAGAGCGTTGAACATATGTATTGGGTGTTCAAACGTTAATACCGAATTAATCGAATTTTTTTCTTAAACCGTTAACTGAACCGAAATTTATTTGAAAATTATTAACCGAACTAAACAAATATCGGTTAATTCGGTCAATTTTCGAATTAATCGATTTTTTTAAATTTTCCAATTTATATGATAATTGAATATTTTTTAATTCAAAAAACATTTTACAATTAATTTAAATAATATCTAGAATTTTTAATTAATTAACATTGATTTAAGTTTAAAAGCTTTTGGATCTTAAATTATTAATTGAGTTTTAAATGGTTTGGTCTGAACCTATATGTTATATATAATATTTAAAACATAAAATTTAATTTCGGTTAATTCGATTAATTCAACTAATTAACCGATTTCGAATTGAATTCTAAAAAAATTATTGATTGTTTCCCGACCGAACTAATTCAGTGACCGACCGAATTAACCGAACTAATTCGGTTAAAAGAAAAAATGAACACCCCAATATGTGTACATATCGTGTTATCACCAATTATGTTTTGAAAAAGGCTAGAGTTTTCAGTTTTCACGCAATAAACTAACCCCAATTAATCAAACAAAATGACGTGCACGAAATCAGAACTTGTTTGGTAAATATTTTGGTATGTCATGCAATCGAAGCTTAGGTACTTAAGGCTTCTAAAGAGGAAAAAAATACTATAGACCAACTTCTATTTAATCGACTAATAAAAGATTAGTAATATTTTAGGTTTGAGTTTTATGAAATAAATAATATTAAAATTATAGCCTAGTCCTTTTAGAATTACAAAATTTTAACTTTAAAGTAATGGTAACGTAAAACTTATATGGGTAAACTACATGTTTAGTATTTAAAGTATCAATTTTATTCCGTTTTGGTACCAAAACTTTCAATTTTTTCAAAATCATACCTAATATTTATTTTTTGTTTCATTTTAGTACTCGGCGTTTACTTTTTGTTTTATTTTACTACCTAAATTTTTAACGATGGGGTACTAAAATGAAAAAAAAAGTAAACTTTAGCTATAATTTTGAAAAAAATTAAAAGTTTAGGTACTAAAGCAGAACAAAAGTGATGGTTTAAGTACTAAACATGTAGTTTATCCAATTTATATTTATTCACTCAAAAATTACATTAAGAGCCTAATTGAAATTAAGCAACTTAACTGAAATCTCCAACTCTTAGAACGATAGACGTTTTGGAATCGTCCCTATCCTCGGCTGTCTGCCATGGCTAGAGACTTTGGTGAAACCCGAGGAACTATTTTTGGAGCAAAGGCGATGAAATTGATAAGTGGCGACATTGTATGTCACACAATAACACACAAGCTTATCCTATGTATCATGTCATGAATCGAGGGAGGTCTCAAGTTAAAAGTATAATTCAACCGAAATAGATTAGGAGAGATTTATGGGCTAGGCAGCTTCTGCAACTGTAGCTAATAGCTCAGCTGGTACTGCTAAAAAGCAATATTGGAACAGAAAGTGTATTTGAAAAATGGTTCAAGTTAATTAGTGTGATTAACTGATTAGTTTTCATTACTTGTTTCTTAATGTTGTCTGTATGATACAAGAAAACTATGTATTAATAATGTATGCAGTTCGGAATTTCCAGATGTTGACATAAGAAAAGATTTAGGTAAACTATAAATTTCACCACTCAACTTTAATCATACTTTTTTTTTTGTTATTAAGTTTTAAAAAATTTAATTTAATTACTAAATTTTAGAATTGTTCATTCTTTATCACTATGCTACTAAATAATTAATGATAGTATAAGTGAATGTTTGTTCCTTTTTGTTTTCTAAAAATTATGAGAGGGCCTAAAAAAATTTCATTTTTGTAAAAACACTCTAATTTTGGGTTTTCTTTAATTTTTCAATGATGAAGCATCTTTCCCCTACCTTTAAAATTAGGAAAGCGAAAAAAGAGTACACGAATTGTATATCCACATTATAATATTTTAAAGTGTAGTATCCGAAACAGAAATACAATCAAGATTTAGTGATGAAACTTATAAAATACTCCTCAAGATCTTTCAAAATAGAAAAGGTCATTAGTCTCATACCCTACGATTGCAAAAGCTCCAAGCCTTCTCCACGTGTGTCATTTGCATGTCTCCAGAAACTGTAATTCCACGACACTTGTCACCAAACCCTAATCTTTATCGTCACCTTTGTCGCTTTAATGGTTATCATTTTACCACTTCCCCTGTTTTCTCAAGTCTTTTCCTCTTCCCCTTCACCCTTTGAGCTCTCTAAGTCTGTTAACCATGGCTGAGCGCAGTCCGAGTCAGCAGAGATCACCAATACCGAACCCCACCGTCACAACTTTCCTACAAAGAATCCAAGCTCATGCACCCAACTCCGCCCAACTTCCCTTGTTTGTCACCGCCTCGATTCTCCTAATCTTCACCGGCGTCACCGTGACCGTCGCCAGCCTCGGGTTCATCTTGTTGATGCCATTGATCCTCATCTCGAGCCCTATATGGTTCCCGGTAGGCTCCGTGATGTTGATCGTTTTGGCCGGCTTCTTCTCGGCGTGCGGCTTCGGGGTTTTGTCGGTGGCGGGGTTGTGTTGGATCTACCGGTACTTCAGAGGCATGCACCCGCCGGGATCCGACAGGGTCGACTATGCCCGTAGCCGGATTTACGATACGGCTAGCCACGTGAAGGATTATGCTATTGAATACGGTGGTTACTTGCAGAGCAAAGTGAAGGATGCGGCTCCCGGTGCATGATCAATGGATGAATTTAGATCGGAGTTAGGGTTGCCTGCTTTTCCTTTGTTTATAAAATAATTTCAAAGAGATTTTAAGATAATTTAGATTTTTGTTAAGTTATTATGTTTCTTCTTTTTAATTTGTTTTTCTATATATTTATAATGTTTTAATTTAATATTTGATGTTTTAGATGAGTTAATTAGATATTATTTTGTTATTTTCATTAATTTAGGATAATTTTATTGCTATTGTTATATTTATTGTTATTTTAATGTACTCAAAATTTTATTAAAAAATATAAAATACAACTTTCTATCTGAATTTATAATTATTCCGACCGGTGACGTAACCCAAGCCTTCTCTGAGCGAGTAACCAGGCAAGGGACTGCGACGCGTCGAACGAACAGGCAACTTGTCGAGTTGATTCCCTTTGCTGTCGTAATGAATCACACCCGAAAAATCCAACGGCTGACACTTATCTCCCATCAGGATTGATCTCTGCCATAACCCACCGTCACCGCAACAGTCATCCGCGTCCTTCCCGTATCCACCACCGTGCTTCTTCCTCCGCACCATCGTGATCGCCTTGTTACTTATCGTTGTCATAAACTGCTTTGGCCCCCGCGATTTCGGCGTGTAGAGTCTCGGTGTGCCGGAAGCTAAGCCGTTTTCTTTAAGGCTTTAGTTTCCTGGAAAGTCGACTGGCGCATATGGCCATGGCCCATGAATGAAGTAAGGAATCCCAGAGTTAGCCGCTGTTTGTGTGAAGCAGAGCCGTGTTCCGATGAGTCCATTCTCGGCTTGGTTTTTTTCTAACGAATGAAAATTTTGGCGCTTTCAGTGGCTTGGTGGTATATATGGAGGGAGAGATGTGAGTTTTAGCCCATTGAAATTCCGTTGTAGGACCGAGAATCCACGTGGTAGGACGTTATTGGTGATTGTAGTTTTCGAAAGCAATTAAAACGAAGCACCAGATCATGGGACTTACCCCGTGTCGTGCACTCACCTGAAGTCAAGAAAAAGCAAGTAGGTAGGTCAACTCAGTTGGCAATTTTGCCGGTCCAAGTCTTCGCCCTTTTGTTTATTGTTATTATTATATTTAAGTGGACTTATGGGGACATGATGTCCCACGTGGACTTAACCTTACAGACTTGAACAAATCTGTGTTTCTCAGTTCGTTTGGACCCACCACATTCTTTTGTCATTTGGACTTGGTCCCACCATTTTGTTATTAATCATTTTTGTTCTTGATAATTCATTCTTTAGGAGTCCTAATACATCAATAGATCAGGTTTCGGTTTTAAAATGTTTGAAATTGAACACGAATCGATTTATCTTAGTGATTAAAAATGATTATTATTTTTAGAAATTTCAGATTCCAGCGATTATAAACTATTTAAACATTTATTGTTGAAAAGCGTAAAGTACCCATTGTAATTATTCTTACGTTAATAGAAAAAAATATTTGAAATTGATTCTCACATTTTATTTGAAGTATGATTCTTTATAAATTTGTTATGATTTATGTCTATATATATATATATATATATATTATAATTACCAGTCCGTTATATCATAAAAATAATTAAGATTTAAACCACCTAATTGCTATCACGACGTCCTGTAAGCACCTCGCCATACACATCCAAGAATTCCTAGTGTTTAAATCAAATATCGAAACTTCTATAGTATCACTATCACCCAATTAATCGACATTGAAATTAAAAAAAATACAAATGCATATAATTACGAACTTAAATTTGTTTTTACAAGCTTAAAGAACAAGAAGCTTTTATCCACCCCAGACATAGATCTCAACACTGTTCATAGAAAGATGGGAAAGTTTCCCTCTCAGATTTATAACATGAACAGTTGGTGTCGTTTGCTCTCAAATCATCTGCATAGTGTAGGCTGTACCCAATAGTTTACCAAAGACATAGAACCCACATTTCTGCCCTAATTATTTCAACATCTAGATTCAGGGTTTCAGAAGAAAAAAAAAGTCGAAAGAGAGGGACTGTACTGTACAATTATTTCAACATCTAGATATGTATCTATTGATGTGTTGTGTGTGTTGTCACACAAAGGTAAAATGTTCATACTACTACAACTATATATGGCAAAAGCTGCGCATAAAGCTTTGATTTCTAATGGGGTCAATGGATGGCCTATAATCACACTACCTATGTCTTCAGCAAGTTCAACTGTAGTTGTATATATAAACACTACGTTAGAGTTTGTGATCCGAATTATTTGAACGTCGTAAAAAGTTTATGGTACGATATATTTGACGAATAAAATAAAATCCAAGAAGAAATAAAGATATGTGATGGATGTTCTTAGAAGGTGTCGTAATCCTCTCATAAATTTGAAATTGCATTGGATTTCTCTCTTCTTCCCATAGTTTTCTCTTTTAGAGTCTTCTATATAAACTTGTATGGTCTGTCTTTGTTCTTTATTATATTATGACCACTTATCGTTATTTAGTTATACATTACTTGATACAATATTTCGTATCACATGAATTGATATCAATATTAGGTCGTTAGAAATGCTTAATCAATCCGAGAAAAATGGTGAAGTTATTGGGATTTCTTTTACAACATGAATCGATCCAAAAGAGTATTATAGTTGATAGCATTGAAGCTAACCACTAAAATGGTAAAACCTTCTTCAAACACGAAGAGTAAATCTTAACAAATTAAAAGAAAAAGATTAAATTTGTAATTTTCAGAAAATGAAAGGGTTAAATTATGGGATGTGAGTACATAAGAAACACAGTATTAAAAAAAAAGTAACAGTAAAGCATACACTTTCTACTGTGCCATAAAGTCCAGTGAAACACTTCTCAAAGATCATATTGAAATTAAATAAAACAAGATTAGGGTATCTGTTATGATTAAGAAACACCTATCCGAGATAACAATTTGTCTTACAGTGGACAAAATTACACGATTAAGAAAGTGGGATCAGATGACTTTCAGCACTGCTTTCATTTTGGATGAAACTGTCCTCCTGTAAGGATATGGTACAGCAGTTGTTTTCTACCCCACCTCCACCATATCGGCGGCTCGAACGCCCGTCTCTTTTTAACTCGTTTTCCTGCAAAACAAAAAGAGTGGATTCGAGGAAAATAATATTATTAAATGAACCCTCACACCGCACAGTAAGTTCGAGTTCCCGACAACGTGAACAAACAAAAAAGAAACCCTATATCAGCAACAAACTATATATCAATGGTTAGACTCCGAGAGAAGCTCGAAAACAGTTCCTTACTTTTGTTCTCCACGGAATACATCCCCCACTGCGACTGCAGTTTTTCAAAGCTTGAGCTTAGATTCGGCCAGTAATTCATCTGAATCTTCAGGACTTCCAGCACTGTATGCAGGCCGGCTCTAGAAGGAACGTCGTTATCCGGCTCACACTCACGACTTTCACCCAAAAGTACCTATTCCATATTAAACAAAAAGGAGCCTGTCAGAATATATTGCATTATACGACTTGGTTTTAGCTATTTAAAAAGGGTTATGGAAGAACCAAGACACAATTCAATGCAATATACAATATTATACATGTGTCTAGTTATGTATACACACCACGGGTGTACAAATGCATATAAAAATTGACTAACGTCATGTTAAACGAAAACAATTACAACATGGCCTTGTTATTTTTCATCTAGTTCACTCTTCCAAAATTAATGGCGCATCATAATTTGATCTACATTATTTTGTGTGTATTTACCTTAATCACCGAAGTAGCAGAAGATGATATCGAACGGAGGTTGTAGCTGCCAAAATGAAAAAGTTGATGAGAAGCTTTAATTAGATGATAATCTTGACCTTACCTAACAGCAGAGAATAAACCACAAACCCGCCCTCGAGTATAACCAGCAACTTTCCACCAGAGAGGGTACTCAACATGTGTGTCATCTGTGCATAACCAGCAGGAGTCACCTACAATGAAAAACCGATAGTCATTATGCAATACAAGGAACATAAAGGACAAACTCAAATTTACAAAATGAAAATTCTAAAAACTCATAAAATGAACCAAACCATGCATTTACTCAGTTTGATGAATTAAAAATATTTAGGAAATAGCAAAAACCGGGATCCATTTGCATGAGCAGACGTGTACTCTAAATACAGCCAAGCAATTGTTTCCACAAAAGTATACCACTATTCAAGCAGGTTCAAGTACTAGAACAACATATCTACTGAAACAAATGCGAATACTTTGTTAAGATATTCCTTTATTTCTTCCTCTACGTTGTTTACGGAATTTACTTATTTTGGAGTTATAGTTGATGATGGGGATTTGAGGTAATAACAATTTTCTAAAAGGTTCTCTTCATAGTTTTTCCCTTTTGTCAGTAAAGTTCTATATCTTTCTTGGTGAAAACATGCGTTATGGAAACAAACTTACATCACAACATCCTAAAGGATCACCGCGCGCAGCATCAAATCCAGCTGATATGACAGTAAAGTCAGGAGCAAACTTGGAAACTGCCATTAGGAGTTTGAAAAAAAAATTAATAGATTAAAGCAATAAATCAGATTATCAACTGATGCAGTTGTATGATTAATAGGTGATGGTCAAGAATAATATATACCAATATAGAAATAGGATACTAAGAATAGTTTATAAAAAGGGATTAAAGAAACAAATGCAAAAAAAAGAAGGAAATCCTCTCAAGCTAACAGCATGCAAAAAGAGATTACATGCACTTTGCTCATATTCAAGCAATAAGAAATAGGATAGAATACACCAGAGTTCACTAAACTACACTCAAATGATCGTTTGGTCATTAAACTTTCAAAAGTTACAAAACAGTAATTAAATTTATTTAACTTTTACAAAATGGTCACTACGACGTTATAATAAGTGTAAAAGTATCCAAGATGAATGCAAATGATACAAACAGGATTAAATACAATAGTAAAAAAGTATCCAATATTTTTTAATTGAAATTTTGAATAGGGTAGACTTGGGTTTGGTCATGTCAGGTTTAGGCTATTTTGGGTTCATAAAATTTTGAATTTGAGTCCCTTTGAGATGAAATTAGTTCAAGCCATTTTCAAGTTTATACAAGATTCCAAGTATTCAGCTTGTTTAGAGTTTGGGTTTTCAAGGTTCTAGCAGTTTCGAGTGTGCATCATATCCCATATTCATCTTGCAAATGATAATTGAAATGCAAAGGTATCTCAGAATAAGAAATAACAACCTATAGGAAGCACAACATGTTGAAATGCAAAAACATAATCGTTATCTCCAACTCCGCCACGACTCCATGGGATATTCACACAATATCCTTCTGCACCCTTGCTACCAACCTAACAAAATTAAATCAGAAAAAAAGGAGCATCATTTACAAAAGATACATAAATGAATGGCTAAATGCTCAATTTAAGATCTAACTTTAAGGCTGATTCTCATTTAAGGACATAACATGAGGCATCAGATGCAGATGAAAAAAAGTAGAGAACCTAAATAGAATTGGAATTGTATAATTCTCTAATATAACAAATATTGACGCTAAAAATCAAATCAACCAGCTCCCAAGAGTCCCAAGGGCATAATTAGTAGTCAAAAATAGATTATAATATTAACCCATCTTTATTACTGTCAATATGTACCTTCTCTGGACTATTTAAAGGGGAGATATTAGATTCCAAATCAATATCTAGCAAAGCAAAACTTATAAACTGCTGAATTTTATTTAACTAAATAATCAAGTACCTCTAAAGCTGCCCCGGTACCAGGATAGAACTTTCCTCCTTCATGTCTATGTAGGGATATGTACAATACCTACAAAGAGATATAAGATTTTGTTAGGGCATAACCCTTGAGTGCACCCAAAAAAAGGTGCGAGATATGCATATGACACCAGAACAAAAAGAAGAAAATCAAGGATTTGGTTGGTTAGTGCAGCCTTATATGTGCCTTTTAGTTCTTACCATAAAACTCATGTCAAAATAACAAATTTCTTTTTAAATCTTAGTAGCCCAAGGTTCAACAGTTTTTAATTGCTGAATTCCAATTAAAAAAGCAATATAGCCAATACAATCCTACCTTCTCCAGCAAATGATATTATCAAGAATCAATTGCATTAAAAATTTGATCCATGTGTTGCAAGCATAACTTTACAATCAAGAAAGCTCACCGATTTATTTTGGTCAAATATCTCTTGAGTACCATTTCCATGATGAACATCCTGAAATAATGAAAGAGGGCCATTAACTCAAAATTTTGATGGCCCTACACTCGTTTTTCTATAAATTCAAAATAATCCAATTCTCCCTCTACAAAGAAGTTAGTATCAAGAGAATTTAACTTACCCAATCAACGATTAGCACCTTCTTTGCCCCTGCAGCCTGTGCTGCTAATGCAGCAACTGCTGCATTGTTGTGAAGGCAGAATCCCATCGCTTGTCTAACACCAGCATGATGGCCAGGAGGTCGAACCTGACTCAGAAGTAAAATGAAGATAAAGACAGATGAGCAGTCATTGCATTGTGAATTCGATATAGGTTGGCAACAAGCATTGAACATATTAAACAGAATATCAGAACTCATACATACCAAAGCAAACCCATTTTTTACGTGTCCAGAAAATACCGCTGAAGCAAGATCGGCACATAAACCAGCTGCAAGTCTAGCAGCTTGTGCTGAATGCTCATTAGCATATGTGTCAGGAGTAAAATAACTGCCAGTAAAAAGTAAGCCAACAATTAAGATTGTGTTTCACTTGGACATCACCCAAGAGAAATTGACATAAAGCCTACTAGAGTTCGACAAACAACACATACAGTGACACCCTCCCACACACACATTCCTACTCAAGCACATGCTCTCAAGCCACCCATAAAAGAAAGAACAAAAAGAGCTCTTTTTTATCCCCACAAAGACAATATGAGCGCTTCAAAGTTCTACATGTGGATACATTTGGAGCAGGAAAGGACAGACGATATACCTAGAAAACATTTGGGCAGTAAGGTCAACAGCTGCAATATGCTCCGACGAATGGACCTAAGGATTCCAAAACATAAAAACACAAAAGCTTCAAAGGCGACCCTTTTAGTAAATTAATAAATAAAAAGACAATGGCAGAAGCAAATTAAACAAAATAGCTACTAATACCAGATAAAGTAGAAAGATAGAACTGATGGAGCCATATCACTCCAAAATAAGAATGGCCCTTACCATTTGAAGCTCCTCCGGAGTGATTTCTCTAGCGGGAATTGGGCAGCACTTTCCAGGAAATATACCTGTACATGTTAAAAATTTCCATTTAATTATGACAGACAAATCAAAAGCCTGAAAATATGAATTTCATACCAAGAAAAAAAAGAAGAAGCACAAGACCAAAATACCAGCAGCAGCAAGGCTAGCAGCAATAGCTCGAAGACGATTTGGTCTTTCTGGATGGGGATGTGACTTCATTTCAATCTACACTACCAAGCAAGCAAACGCCAAAGACAAGAGCGCAAAAGGAGTTATACACAAATCCCACATGATTAACAAAATATGAGCAGCAACCAGACTCATCATATGGTTGATCATGCAGAAACAAGAAATTAATTATTTTAGTTCTGTCAATAAAGTGAATCTTTCTTTTCATGATTTGAGGTTACAACATTTTTTTATAATTGCAATAATACTTGATCAAATACACCACCATCCAATGGGACTCCCCAATCGTGAATACAAAAAGAAAAGGAAGAAATTTGTAAGCCAGTAGTAAACAAACAAAGATTGACAAAAAATGTAAGTAGAAAAGAAGCAATACCAGTCAAAACTTTAAAAAAAGAAAGAGAAGCAGTGCAACAGAAACTTTGCAATCAAACAGAGATAGATTACATATAACTTACAAAACTTTCCCTACAATTGATACTCATAATCAAATTCTATACATTAATCTTATCATGGAACGGTGCCAAACAACCATAAAAATATCATTCAAGTGAAGGATCTTAGGGATGCATACAGAAAACGGTGCCATACCTCTGAGTGCAGCAACATTCTCTCATCAAACCCAATTGCCGTGGAACAGTTTGAAGCTGAAGCCTCTGACCAAAAATCTGCATCAAGAAGCATATCCAGATTAGGGTCACAAAAATCCCATGCCTATAAAGGGAAATATTATAAGTTTCAGATTGTAGAGGAGTGGAAAATTCAATAGAAATGTGAACTATAGAGCTCAAAATTTGATTAAAAGAAAGGGTATGTAGGTCACAAGGATTATAATATCTAGTGAGAGAAGTTCCCGCTTCTCTCTAGGGCCCAGGTGTTTTTAAATTTAAAAGTGTTGTCTCATTCGTCTGTTGCCTGCTGGCCGCTGCCGCCGCCCGCCGTCTGCCGCCGCCGTCAGCCGTCCGCCGCCACACTCTGACCACCGTTTGACGCCGCTTTTTCCTAGGATGGTTGTCTGCTCACGGTGAATACAGATCTGGTCTTGCATTTGCGAAAAACGCTGTCTTTAGTCGCAGATCTACACTCGCCCTCTGCAGATTTTCGAAGCCTCCAGCCGTCCGAGTTCGCCTCCGCCACTCAACCCAGCGCAGTGCCTAAACGTGACCTAATCCCGTCTTCTCTTGTGTCGAGCAGTGGTGTACAGCTGAGTATTCACCATGGAACCCCAACCCACGTCTCAACCCAGCCAACTTCGAGGGTTTGACTCAGCTGGTGCGGTGGCTGCTTCCTCCGTGAGGCCTCCTATTGTTCCTCCTTCTTCGTCTAGGAGTTCTCATCTCCCGCTTGAACCAGACTGCCGTGTTGCAGCTGGTGATTTCCCCCTGGAGTCTGCCAAGGAATTAGAAGCGAAAGTGAAGGCTCTTAAAGCATTAGTGGCAGAGTTGAATAAGCGGGTTAATGATTTAAAAATGAAGGAAAATGCAGTTCCACGAGGCAGTCTTCTCAAGAAATCTGGATCCGCTGGTGCAGCCTCTTCATCTTACTCCGGTAAGGACAATCGTAAAATTGAGAATGAAAAGGAGAGGACAAGGTTACGGAAACCGCAAAGAAGAGTTTTTACCAGACGCTTGTTGGCCGGATTGAGACAGTTTGGTAACTTCTCTATTCCACCGAATGCTGCTAAGAACGATGTTTTGGCAGCCTTGGCACGTGAGGCGGGTTGGATAGTTGAGTCCGACGGCACCACTTACAGACACTCTCCTTCAACCCAAAATCAACAAAATTCGGGATCAGTTTCGGCGAGGTCGGGTGAAAGTCCACTATCATCCAGTCCTTTGAAGAAATGCTCACAAGAAGGGAAACATAGGAACGGAAAGTTGTCTTTTGTTCACGCAACACCAACGCTTCCAGTCGCTAATGTTGATCATGGTGGTGCCAAGGAGTTCTATTCGAAAGGGTATTCCGATGCAAAATTTTCCGAAGTGGTGGGAAGAAGAAGAAATGGGTTTTATAATCGGTCGAAAGAAGGCCAACCAGATTTTCGCAATGGGTCCAGAAAGGATTGTTACACGATTTTTATCGAAAACCTTCCAGAGAAGATCCATTGGAAGAAACTTGGATCCATATTTGGCTCACATGGTCAAGTTATTGATGCCTTCATTCCCAAAAAAAGAAACTCGAATGGGGTTCGTTTTGGGTTTATTCGCTTTGCTACAATTGAAGAAGCAAGGACATCGATTTCTAAGATGAATGGTTATCGTATTTACGGCAACAAAATTAGAGTCTCTTTAGCTAAACATAAACCCCGACAGTCTTATTGGCGAAAGTCCTCGAAAGTTGTTCATAGTAAGTCGGGGCTGGAAGTTTTTCCGACGATTAAACACTGTGAAGTTGAGGGTGTTGTGGACGCAGATAAACTTCATGTGTTGTCTAACTGTCTTGTGGGGTGGTGCAAGAACTTTATCAAGATTGGTAATCTTGCTAACCAAATACAAGCCAAAGGACTAGCGGGTTTCACGCTTATGAGAGCTGCTGGAAATGTAGTTCTAATGGTTTTTGAAGATTCTAATTCGTTGAGATGCGTGAAGGATGAAAAGTTAGAAACTCTTGCAGAATGGTTTTCCAGAGTGGAAACTTGGTCTGAGAGCCTTGTGGTGGAGAGCCGGCGCGTTTGGCTAGTTTGCGAAGGTATTCCTTTTCACGCTTGGAATTGGGATACTTTCAAAAACATAGCTACTAAGTGGGGCAAGTTAATAGCAATCGATAACAGTTGTGAGTTCCCTTCGTCTTTTGATCGGGCTAAAATCCAAATACTCACAAACGCTCAAGTGAGAATTAATGAGTTGTTGGAGTTGAAGGTCGGGGATCATTTATTCAAAATCTTGGTGCATGAAGTTGATCCTTCCTTCAAACCTAATTCTTGGGTTCCTGAAGATTGCGATATTTCTTTAGAACTTGATCCTCCAATTGGGTTGTGATTGTTCGGCTGCTGTATTCAGAGGCGTTTTTAAGTTTGTGGTTGTAATTGTTGGTTTTTTGTTATGTTATCTTACATCTTGAGGTGATTTAGGGGCTTTTTGGTTGACGATGTAAGATTTCTAGGTGATATGGGTTGTATTGGTGTTTATTCCCGCATGTGGGTTTGGTGTTACCTCATGTACTTAGTATTATATTTAATAAAATATGAGGCACTCTTTTCTCCCTTCCTTGTTCTTCAACATACTTCTAAGTATGTGGAAGAATACGAAGGGAGTTTTTAATGAGACCTCCAACTTCTATCAAAAAAAAAAAAGAAAGGGTATGTAGAGCTGGAAATCTCAGATACTGAATTTCACAATTTTTATCAGGAAACATCAGCCTACCACCTTGCAAGTACAAAGAAAACATGATTTACATTTGACAAAGAAGTATCTATGACCACAACCATATAGGAACAGTAAAATTGTGATAGGACTTACTTGATTCTTGAAAATATTACTTAATATAATATGAATGTCAGAAAGAAATTCAGGATTCAGGTCAAAAACAGAATATAGAAGTAAAAGTCCTCATAAATAACCTAAATTACAGAAAATTAGAAAATTTCTACTGCTTAAAAGTGTGACAACAAGAGGCAAGTTAGCTATAATGCATAGTGATGGCTTCACATTAAAAGAAAATACTTAAATGCATTAGTAAATACTAAATAAGCAAATAACAAAGTAGAAAATAGCTTCTCAATCCCATTTAGAAGAGAGACTCAGATGCCAATATATGATTAAGATTGAAATGGAACCTTATATAGTTACATCATCTAAATACAGTTAATTAGAAAGTAAATTTCAGGCAATCATTCCAATTCTCCATAACTTGATCAAAATCTTAAATCCATTATTTTTATTTTTTAAAAAATTCAATAAAGATGCTCAACACTGAACACTCTACGACAATCTCACCCTGTTTTTGAACTTGATAACAATAATTTTAACCATCAACATTGTGTGCATCAATAAGAGCTTGAACATCGTTAAAAAGCAACACTATAAGGAAATAATAGGAGGCACTATCACTGATAAAGAGTTAACATGGTAGTGTCATTCAATAACAAAGCGGTTATTATTGATTAATGGTTAATATCTTCCCTTCTCTGCAAATCAAGGTTAACAGCCAAGCAAAGCACTGAACCATTGCTATGAGCCATGTAGTGCACTTTAAAAAAAAATAAACAAGTTCACCATGTAACGGGTATAATTAAATATATTTTTTCCATACAATATCCTATGCTATAATTGCACAACCTCAACAACATTTTCAATGCTGTATCATATGATTACAACTGATTGACCAAAATGAAAATGGATTTGTTATAGACTGGGAATTGTATATCAATTTCAGAATATTTTGGTTAGCAGTTTGAAAAAAAAAATTAGAAGACTGGAAAATAAAAGAAAACATCAAAAAGTAGGGCAGTCCTCTTCGAAGGGCAACACATGAAAATATTATTGATTAGGCTCAGCAGAATGCAGTTACCTTTGTCTCTCGCTCTAGCCTCTGATTCAACCTGAATAAGTTCTACCTCTGGTGAAAAAGGAGATGCATAAAACCCATGCTTTAGGATGCCAGATTCTTTATGTTCCCCACAAATCTGCACAGATGAAATTGCTAAACCATCTATAGCCAAAAAAATCTTTAACAAATGTGAAGAGAATTGAAGATTCCAGAAATCACAACAGAAGGTTTATAAACAAAGCATACAAAAGGAAGGGTGTGGATTAGTATCAATAAGAACGAAAAAACTTACATCACAGTGAAAAACATCATCAAGATTGACCATAGTGCAGTTTGTACAAAACCACTTCAAAATCTCTATGTGATTTTGTACAGGTTCCCAGTCACTGTCATCCTCATCACCATCATCAAATGCATTTTGGTCGTTGAACTTATCCTGCAAAGTCAATTCTTTTGGCAGCCTCACCTTTTTCTGCAGACAAATCTCAGAGCTAATTCAACACTTGAGAAGCAACATAACAATAACCAACATCCACAACAACTATATCATTGAAATTAAAGGAATTCCTTAATTGTGCTGCTTACAGAAGCATTGTCAAGCTGTGTGTCTTCGTCTACATTGGCATTCAAATCTAAACCAGATGCTCCCATATCCCCATTGGCATCAGAGCTGTTATGACAAGAAGCTGCTGCATGCTCATCAGATCCCAAATGTTTTCTTTTAAAACCTTGGTTGCTCTCAGTCCCCCCATTTGTCACACAATTCACTTGAACTGTTTCAGAAACCATATTGATTTCAGAGTTCAATAGAGATTTCAGCCAGAATCATACCTTTATTTACTTCAATCATCTGCCAACGAAATTTAGTTTTAAAAAAAACACAATTAATACACATTACAAGGGAGAGCAGATTATGAAATTTGAAAAAAAGAATTAAAATAGGAGAGAAAATAACTAAACTTTTCAAATTTGGAAAAATGAACAGTAGAAAATGGTATAAAAACACAAATTTCAAAGATATCAAACATAGAAAAGCAAACAATTAACTCAGGATTTTACATTATTTCGAGCAACATAAAAATTGAGCAGAACCAAGCTATACTACACATCACATTATACCTACAAATACCAATTACAATAAGAGAAAAATTATAAACACTGACCTAAACTACCAACTACCAAGGCTTTAAACTAATTACAAAAAGTAGTCAAAATTATGTTTTCTTTTTTCACTCAACAAGTTGAGCAAAGAAACTGAGATTTAAAACAATTTAGAAAAGCTCAGCTACAAATAAATTTAGAAGGAAAAATGTACTAAAGAATAAAAAACCACATAGTAATTCATAATAAAAAAAAATAAAACGAAGAATCGGAATTCTCAGGCTTCATCACAACTAGAAGAGTGACTCTAGCGAGATTACTTTTTTTACAAAACTCTAGCCTGCATAAGTACATACAGCTCGCATTTTTTAAAGTAAAACACACTATAGAAGGAGCTCAAAGAGAAGAATTAAAAAAAAAAAATCTTCTTTTCTTTTTTACCTGGCTAGGGCAAACTGTGGAGGGTCTCGCAATGAAAATGTGGTGTTTTTGAGAGAGGGAGAGGGTGGCGATTAAAATACTACTGCTTCTGTATTTAGGGTAAACTACGTTTATGCCACTTAACTTTGTCTGTATTTATGTTCTGATCAGTCAACATTAAAAAAAAATCAATTCCATCAATCGTCTTTCAGAGTACACTGTACACTCATCCCATTGTTTTTAGTTGTTCGACCATTAAGTGCGAATCTGGATGACTAATTTCAAAAATATACTATCTATTTAAATATTAAAAATAAGGAATTTTCAATTTAGAGGGACTGGCGTTTTGGGCAAAATCAACGAGATAATGCGTTGAAATTTTTTTTTCACGAGATAGTACCCTCGTCAGATTAATTGCTCAGATGGGGTGATCTCTACAGTCCCCAGGGTAGGTCGCCATGCACGCCCAGCGATCTAGGTAGGTCGCCATGCAATCCAGCCCCCAAAGGTCGCCATGCAGTCCATGAATAAATGTTTAGCCTTTTGGCAGCCGACTCATTGCTTAAACAAACAGAAAGCAAACAAGCACAAGCCAAAGACAAGTCAATGAAAGTGGACAATATTATATTAATAATACTGCATCTTAGGCTGGAAAATACTAAATACTCATCCAATATAAAGAAATAAAAGGTCTAATCATATTTTCAGTCGTTGTACTATCCAACTATTTAAAATGTAGTCCCTCTAATTTAAATCTAAGTATTTTTCACCCTTCTAAAAACTAATATTTCTTTTTAAATGTTTTTAGTCTTTGTTTAAATGAAGAATTATAATTTTCAACCTTTTGAAAAATAAAAAAGTTGATTTACTTTTTTTTTGTTTATCAATTGATCGATTATTTCAGACTAGATTTTACATAAACTCATTTTAAAAATGACATTGTCATATTAATTTATTTTATTCACAAAATTCCAATTATCTAAAATATTATAATTTTATCTCATAACAAACATAAATTTCTAATTTCACTTGATTAGTACAGAACACGTGAAAAGTTCAATAAAAAATAAAAATATTCAACCTGAAATCTCTGGTTCTGAATTCAAGATTATAAGATTTTGAAAAACTGAACTGTGTTGATTTTTCTTTCTACTTGTATGACTTCAATAACACTTTATATCACATAATTCAATTTAGTACGTATCTTCAGGCATTTGCCAAGCATGGACTGCATGGCGACCTTTGGGGGCTGCATGGATTGCATGGCGACCTGGTAGGTCGCTGGGCGTGCATGGCGACCTACCCCATCTAACAGGGACGTCGCCCGGAGCACTTGGCGACCTATATGGGGACTGTAGAGATCACCCCATCTGAGCAATTAATCTGGCGAGGGCACTATCTCGTGAAAAAAAAATTCAACACATTATCTCGTTGATTTTGCCAGTAGTAGGGTTGTTTTGGGCAAAATCAACGAGATAATGCGTTAAATTTTTTTTTCACGAGATAGTGCCCTCGCCAGATTAATTGCTCAGATGGGGTGATCTCTACAATCCGCATATAGGTCGCCAGGTGCTCCGGGCGACGTCCCTGTTAGATGGGATATGTCTCCATGCACACCCAGCGACCTAGGTAGGTCGCCATGCAATCCATGCAGCCCCCAAAGGTCGCCATGCAATCCATGCTTGGCAAATGCCTGAAGATACGTACTAAATTGAATTATGTGATATAAAGTGTTATTGAAGTCATACAAGTAGAAAGAAAAATCAACACAGTTCAGTTTTTCAAAATCTTATAATCTTGAATTCAGAACCAGAGATTTCAGGTTGAATATTTTTATTTTTTATTGAACTTTTCACGTGTTCTGTACTAATCAAGTGAAATTAGAAATTTATGTTTGTTCTGAGATAAAATTATAATATTTTAGATAATTGGAATTTTGTGAATGAAATAAATTAATATGACAATGCCATTTTTAAAATGAGTTTATGTAAAACTAGTCTGAAATAATCGATCAATTGATCGAATATCAATTGATAAACAAAAAAAGTAAATCAACTTTTTTATTTTTCAAAAGGTTGAAAATTATAATTCTTCATTTAAACAAAGACTAAAAACATTTAAAAAGAAATATTAGTTTTTAAAAGGGTGAAAAATACTTAGATTTAAATTAGAGGGACTACATTTTAAATAATTGGATAGTACAACGACTGAAAACATGATTAGACCTTTTATTTCTTTATATTGGATGAGTATTTAGTATTTTCCAGCCTAAGATGCAGTATTATTAATATGATATTGTCCACTTTCATTGACTTGTCTTTGGCTTGTGCTTGTTTGCTTTCTGCTTGTTTAAGCAATGAGTCGGCTGCCAAACGGCTAAACATTTATTCATGAACTGCATGGTGACCTTTGGGGGCTGGATTGCATGGCGACCTACCTAGGTCGTTGGGCGTGCATGGCGATCTGGTAGATGGCGACCTGCCCGGGGACTGTAGAGATCACCCCATCTGAGCAATTAATTTGACGAGGGCACTATCTCGTGAAAAAAAAATTTCAACGCATTATCTCGTTGATTTTGCCGGCGTTTTGTCTTAATCTTTTAGGTTAATCTTTCGAATGACCTCAATAATTATAAATATTTTGATTAATTAAATTTTATAAATACATATACTATTTTATTCAAAAAATTAAAATATATAATTATTTAAAAAATTATCAATAATACAACTTCTTTCTAATTTATATGAGGTAAGTACAAGACAGTGTCTGTTTAGAGAACATTCTTAATCATTTGATATTGAATGCTCACACCTTTGGCATTTCTAATGTTCGAATTCGTGACCCAAATAATAACAACAATTTCTTTACCACCAATACCACTTGATTCGTACATCAATAATGCAATTTTAAATAATTAATAAATAAAAGAAAGATTACCATTAAAAATCAAAATATGATAACACTATTCAAGACAAAAGAGTATATAAGATACGAAATAATTTTACATTAAGAGTACAACATTACCGTCTCACTACCAAACACTTAGTCAATTGAGACGAAACTGTTCTAACCTAATCAAAGTTAATTTCGAGTTTAAATCCTTAAAATTGTAACAATATTGAGTACATGATAACAAAACTTCATAGTGTTTATGGTCCAACTCTTATTCAATTCAATGATTTTAACCTCTATTTAAATCGTTAAATCGATAAACAACTGCGATTCATACGAAAACGTAACATCGCCTCTTGTATTGATAAGATCATAATTAACAGTTTTTTTCGAGTAACACGCACCGGATATATATAGGATACAAACACGGTCCATTTGGGGGCACCATTTAAGTGGGCCATGAGCCAGAAGCCTGGCCAGACCCCACAAAACGGAAGGGAAAAAAAGAGAGAAAATTGTGACCCCCAATATTGGTATACAAAATGATTTACTCTCCTGAGAGTAAACACTATACAGTAACTACTGTATTATATTGAAACTACATGAGGCATATAGATTTGCTCATTTCCTTTGCATCCTGCAGAATAAAAGGAAAATCATGAAGTTCTGTAGAAATGCTTGAAAGGTGAAATATATTTCTCGACGATAGCTTTCTTTGGATACCTGAAGATGAAGAATGTTTCTCGACCATAGCTTTCTGTTCGGTGCTGTAGGTGTACCATCTTTCTTTAGCTGCAACTGAATCCCCGGCCTCGATATCTGTACATTAGCAGAAACAAATGAAATGGCAATTCGGTTGAAAGCGGATGAAACTCGAATTTAGGATAATCAAGTATTCTATAAACCTTGAAGCAGAACATCTGTCTCGCCAAAGTAGCCGCTCAACCTCCAGAATTTGAGAAATTTGTTACCATGGCCATCCTGACGTATTGGCTCTGACCGAACAGCATCTAATCGACAGTCCTCTTTCAGCATCACTTGTAAAGTAAATCATGTCAGCCAGAATATGCAAATAGGGATTCGTTTGTGCAATATTAAGGGCAATGTAACAACAAGAATTAAGGCAATGCTCAGGTGGTATAAATTATTGTAAAGAAAAGTTAATATCTCTCAATTGCTGTAATACATTTTGAAGTTTGGTCACTGTGGCAACCCAATGTGGCATCACAGATCCTCCGGATAGTCTAGATCAGGTTTAGGGTATTACATTTTCTATCAGAGATCTAGAAGTATAAAAATATCAACAAGAAGTTCATGCTAACATCAATTAAGAAATATGATTTGAGCAAAGTGGGCATAGACAGTTATTGATGTGTAATAAAGTAATACTAAACTAGCTAATGGCACATTGAATCCATCTGTGAACAATATGGTGTGGTCTATGGCAATAACATTGAAGGCTAAGACTCCAGCAATTGCTTAAAATTACATCTCATGATATGTGCTTCACAGGAAAGGATGCTCGGACAAGCATGGATTGACAAACACCAAGCAAAAAACTTCACAACATCACCCAGAAAGAACAAACTAATTTCCATTATTTCCGGTTCTTGGTCTTTAAGAAAGAAACGACATTAGTCTATTCTTCCTGGATAATTGGCTCTTTTCATTTCTTCAAAGAAAAATGTTTTGACAAGCAAAAACAAAATCTAAAGTGCTTACTAAAGTTGCAAAAAGTCACAGAGCATACCCTCCTCATCCACTGTCTCGGGCACCTCCAATGTACTTGCAAGAGTTTGGGCAACTTCCGACTTTATTCTTTTAATAAGGGCTTCATTCTCTGAAATGGAAAAAGGAGCACCATTTTTCTTGATAATAGCTTTGGCTATCTCATTCTGCAACTTCTTCTTCATTTCTTTTTCCATGTTTCTCTCCTATACAAAGAAATACAATCAGACAATGAGAGAGACATACCATTAACACTAGCATTTGCTTGAGTTAAGTTGCCATATCAAAGCCATTACCCTCTCCCTCAGAATAAGAAGTTTTTCTTTTGCTTTCTTTTCTTTTGCAGCGAATTTCGAGTTTTGTTCATCGATCCAGCTTCTAAATTCTCTGAAGGGAAGAAGCGTTACTTTTCATCAGTACATTTAACATAAGAATCCAAAAAAAAAATAACGCAACCAGAATTTATCAAAGAACTTTATGACTTACGTGGTGCCAAGAGCTTCATCACATAGAAAATTTAAGAGCCTGAGTTTTTTAGAGGAATTTAATTTCTCATATCTATCATTACTGACATCTAAGCAATCCAACAGTGACTGTTTTAACAGAGTTTGAGAACCAAGGATGTATTCTCCAAGAACTTGAACCCATGAATCCTGACTAAGGCAAGGATACCTGCACAAAGATTTAATTCAGATGATCAATATACCAATTAAAAGAAGGAACTGAATGTTTATGGCCATTCGATTTAAGCATGCATACTCTTTTCCCAAATCCTTTTGCATCATGGAAAGCAGTTGATTATGAAACTGCACAGTCAAAGGATATTGTAGTTTGTGTTTGCGTTTGCTTTTTCCGATAAATAACTCGCTAAGTAACAGTTGAGATTGTCCTTTTTTCAAATTGAGAACCTAAAATCAACCAATAAATCAGATAAAAACAACAGAAATAAGCATAATTTAACCAATTAGGATTTATGCTAAACAAACAGATAACAAGTTTACCTCTCCAAAAGCTTCACAAAATTCTAGAAATTGCAAGGCATGGCCGACATCCTCAGCAGGCAAGTCAATGCCATTAATACAGTTTAGTAATTTGCCTTGAGGCAGTATGATATCGTCATCAGAAGCCTCACTTTTAACTTCTACATTTTTCTTCTTAGGATTTGGAGACTTACTAATTGGCTTGTTCATTACTATGGGGTCTGAATTGTTTAGCATTTCATCTTCTACATGATCACACTTCTTAGAGACCTTCATGTCAATTAGTTGGATGGCAGTATTCATGTCAGAAATCACTTCTCCTTCGGACAAAGCCTTATTGGAGATTTTACACTTTTTGGGAGTAATCTTTTGGGTTGAGAAATCCGCATCATTGCTTTCGGGTACGATTTCCTCTCTATTCTTGCTTCTCAGTTTTTTCAACTTGGTATTTCTAGTTGCAGCCGTTTTATCATTGGCTTGTATCGAACCATTTGACCCTTTAAAACTACTTTCCTTTTCGCAGTTGCCAGTTTTTTCTATTCCACATTCCTGTTAGAAAAAGTTGATGAACATTCTTTCATTTTATAATGTTCAACAACCAGTAAATGAACCCGTATCTATAAGTAGAATCGCCCAATTAAACAGGTTTTGCATCCATTCTCAATGATCATTCTCTTGGAAAACAAACACTAACTAAACAAACCAAGGATTTAAATGGTAAGCCTTTGAATCAATAAAACAGATGAAAAATCCCAACCAAACCTTATCTGCAGCTTTTCGCTTTCTGGACAATACAGGTGCATCGTTGATCTCTTCAGAACCTGATCTTTCAGAATCCTTAAGAAGCAGCATATCCGAGACCGAGGTAAACCCATTCGCCTTTGCTGCACGTACGAGGATGCCAGTAGGCTGGTGACCTCGCTTCTTCCTACAAGATTACAATAAAATTTCGCATTTTGATTACCCAAATAAATACAAACAATATGAAAATGCTTGCAATCAATTTTACATAAACATATGACCCACATGCAGAAACTACAGTTGCAAATCCCTCTACATCTCGGACAAGTCCAATCACTTAACAAAGCCATCTCTTCGGCCTTTTCTCCATATCTGATAGAAAATAAAAGAAAAAACAAGTAGTCAGTCATATTGCTAAATCTCTAGAAATACAACCTAATTTTTAGATCTAGAACAAGCTATAGCCAAAAGGTTACAATAAGAATCTTGACAATGGAATTTTGTAACATCCAGCAAGTCTGAGAATGTTTCCAAAAGTAAATAGCTTAGAGAAAATGGCAGGAAAAAACCTGTTCAAGAGGCATTTGTGACAAAAATGGATGGTACATTGCTTATCATTGATCTTTCTCTTGCATGATGCTGCAAAATCCGTTGTTTTTTGTCTACACTGCAATCATTTTTACTCCAGAATCTAAACACATTATTCTTTTCGATTAAACAAAATAATTGATTAAAAACATCGAACTAAATAAAAATACCTGGTGACAAGTTTTGCCGTTATGAGAATCATAGATTCGGTTGTGAATGAGTCGAACTCCAGGCGCACTGTTGCGGCGACGTTTTGGACTGAGAGCTGGAGCAGTTGAGCAATCCGACTCAGTTGTCCGCGTTGTCTTAGTGCTGTTGGTAGTGCTGCTCTTCTTCGTATTCTTCTTCTTCTTCTTAGATGAAGGAGAAATGGCCATTTAAAAAAAAAATCAATCTGAAATGAAAGAACACTAAGACTAATTAAAATAGCTCAAATTATTGCCAGCATCTTTAGTTAATTTCGCTTCTAATATTTATTTCTTTTTGGCTCTGGCGGGAAGAAAGAGATGAGTGAAACTAAAGAGGAGGGAAATACTGAGTGGGCTTGGTTTGGCAATGGCCCATCTATATTTGTCCTTTTCGTTTTTTTTGGGAAGAAAAAATCAGTTAAATCAATGAAAAATCATTTTTTAAACTTTTTTTTTTACATTTTATTAACTTTCGGGTATATGTGCAAGATAAGATTACTGTTAATGAAGAATTGATTTTTTATTCGTTCACTTTGAATACTCTTTAAGTTCTCCTCCCTAATTTTGGTGTTTAGAGAAAATTATAATGAGAAAATACATTAGATATTTTAAATAAGATGAGTGATTCAAAAATTGGCGTTATAAATATAATAAATTAGGATGGACTCTGGAAATGTTTTCCCTATAATTATTTATGCACTTTATGATGCGTTTGGTTCACGGAATGTAAGATTACCAGTGGGAATAAAAGATTACCAATAAATAGGATTACTGGGAATGTTGTATTTTGTGTTTGGTTGGTTTAGCAGGAATGTAAGATTACCGTGTTTGGTTAAAGGAATAAAAGATTATTTGAATGTATATTTGACCAAATTATCCTTATTATATATTTGTATAATATTACAAATTGTAAAATATTTATATATTTTCTTTAAAAAATTAAATTCATAATATTTATATAATTTTTTTACAAAATTAAAAATATAAAAAAGGTTTAATGAAAAGGTAATTTTTTTAACCCCTAAACTTCATATAAAATTTTAATTATAGACTTTTTTTGTAAATCTAAAATAATTTAAGGATAAATTTGTAATTTAACCTTCGTAGAATTTTTATTATTCAATGACAGAAGAATGATATTTTTGAAAAAAAAATAAAAATTTAAGGGCATTTTAGTCCAAAACGCCGGTAATGTTACAATACCTAAGGGAAGGGAGGTAATGACATTCCCGGTAATATACCCCAAAAAATCTACTATTGGTAATAAAACATTACAGGGAATGAGATTCCCGGCCAACCAAACATGGGAATGTGGGATTCCCATCCCATGGGAATCCCACAATCCTTGAATCAAACACCCCCTTAGATTAATCGATTAATAAATAAATATTATTGGTTTAAAAAAATTATGAATTTATGTAAGCCACAAGTGTCATTTAAGAAAGGATAAAGTAAGCAAATGGTCTCTAACTATAGGATACTGCTTTACTAAATCCCTCCATTATTAAAAGTTACAAAATGAACATTCAACTATAAAATGTTATTTTGTTAAGTTCATCGACTATTAAAAATTACAAATTGATTATCAGATTATTTATTATGTTCTAAACTCATCCTTATATATTAAAAATTGACAGTTGTCTAAGTCATACGTTAACGCGATGACTGGAATATGATAGCCGTTTGAAATTCTGAGATTAGATTTTATCGTATCACAGCCAGCAGGTTAACGTTCAACTTAGAATACCGTCAATTTTTTAACAAAAAAGATGAATTTGAAACATAATGAATATTTGAGGACCATTTTATAACTTTTAATAATCGAAAGGCTCAACAAAGGAACACTTTATAATCAAATGACCATTTTATAACTTTTAATAATTGAATGACTTAATAAAATATTACCCTATAGTCGGGAGACCATTCGTGTACTTTACCCTTTAAGAAATGACTTGATTGCTTTCGTTGAGTCTCAAATTGAAACCCGAACAGCCCTTCTCTTAATCCCGGATCAAAAACGGAAAAAAGTGGAAGTACATAAGACCTATTACTCCTTTATTGCACTCGCATTTTCCATCCCATTTCATTCCAGCAAACCGTGAAGACCTCAAATTTGCATTAAAAGCAAAACTAATATAGCAAGGGCATTAGCATTGGGAATGAATGTCTTGGTGCAAAATCCACCAACTCTTCAATGGAAGAACAAAACACTTCCAAGAGTACCCATTAACAAGAGGTAAAATTATATTACAAGGAACCTTTCTCGATGTAACAAGAAACCTTCATTTCAGCAGTGCTAGCTAGTATCACCCATTCCAACAGATCAGTGGTCTAACTTCTTGAGAGTCGTATCATCATTGTCTGGTTAACCAGCAATTGAGTATGTCCCTACACGAATGCCGCAACATATGCCTAGTTTGGTTAGGTACGTATTAACACAAACTACAGCGTAATCATCACATGAGTTCTAAAATAGTTTGTCATAACATAAGAAGAATTAGTACGAATCCAAACCGGAAATTGGAAAGACGAGGAAGAAATAAAGTAAAAAGTAATACTTATTCAAATAAACAATATACATTCCTTATCTTTCTTCGAACTAAGTCATATGAGTGGTTAAAAATATGAAGTTAGTTTACTGCAACTCATGTACTAAAACGTGAGGAAAAAATAACACTCCTATCAAACGTGACATTAATGTATCCGACTTAACTTGCCTATTAAATGCCACATGGAGAAGAAGCACAACTATTATGGTCCCGAAACTTAGCTTGCTCTACGATGCAATCAATTGTTCAACCAGTTTCACTGAAGATCAATCCAGAACAGTAGAAATAAAAGCCAGAACAGCAACTATGATCCAACTCACAGGGCAAAAGATTCAAAGCAAGTAATGTCCAGGATGCGTGGTAGAAAGAATGAACTTGTTAATCTAATGGTTTAGCTAAAAAATACGAGAGTGACGATAAAGTTCAATCATTGGGTTAATCAGACTTTCATTCTTAAACCCTTTTTGTCCCTCCTACCAAGCAAAACCTAAGGGGGGGGGGAATACTCCCAAAAGATATAATCAAGACAATGAATATGTCAAACCTATTGTATAAAGAATGCACATGAATGGTCTATCATTACTTCATAGAATGTTCTATATAAACATAATAAGTGGAACAATAATTTCTTGTTAGTTTCAGCTCACATCCCGCGACTAAACCCAATTCTATGTATATTACTCGTTGCTCAATGAATAGCTTCATGAAAATGAAAAGTTCAAATTCATAACAAAGAAAATGAATATGTTCTTCTGTCACTATTCCTAAAAAACATGAATGCAGTTTTTGTTATATCCTTTTCTTCTGTCTCTATTCTGCTCTGTGCTGTTCAAGCAGAACAATGTTGAAACTCTCACCATTTCCACACCATTATTGGCAGGCTCAAAAACCCAAAATCAAGACGATCTTTATGTTCATCGTCCTATATTCATCTAAGACACAAATGCAGTTTTCGCTTTATCCTTTTCTTCCATCCCTCCTGTTTTGTTCGAGCAGAATGATGTTTAAAACTCGTCTTCTCCATGCCACTATCAGCAGGATCGAAAAACCAGAATGAATCGAGACAACATTTACACATCCCAAAATTAAATTCCTCTTATTACAGAAAATCCCTTCTTAAACTTTTGCATCATTTATTAACAAGAAAGTTGCCCTTCACAAATGTAATCCATTTAAACATTTCGATCCTGCAACATAGAAAAGTCCCACTACACCAAAGTTTTAGCACAAACCTTTAATACTAGTATAAGCCAAGTAAGAACAGTCTTAAGCTTGCGTTATGGGATAGCAATAACTTGAAATTCAGAAAAAGACACCCAAAAGAATCCATTAAAAGTAGGAATTGTGCAATCATTTCTACCACTCGAGTAATTTGTTTATTAAATTCAGCACTCAATAGTCAAAACGCAATCTCGAATCACGCGCCGCCATCATAATTTCATATATCCCCAGCTTATTATGTTCTAATTCTTAATATGCGTATAATTCTAGAAAACAACTTCAGAGAAAAAGCAGTTCGCAGCTTAACTGTAAAAGAGGAAGAGCTAGAGGGAATCTTCAAGCTCCTCTAGCTTCTCTCTCTTTTTCAATTCAATTTCATACTGTCTCAATCTCTCCTTCATCTTCTCCTCTTGAAAAATAAAAAGTAAAAAAAAAAATCAATAAGTCTACAATCTTTGTAAAACAAATCAAGAAACAGAAAAAATAATGAAAAAGACCTTGTAGCTGAGCTCGACGCGGTGCATAAAGTAGAAGCCAAGGATACCACCGAAAATGGTGCCGGTGATGATTCGAACATAACCCCACTTCACTGAGTTCGTACCCAATTTTTTTTTTCACTCGATTTTGCCTCAGCCGTAACTTTCCGTTGAATAACAATTGCCGCCCCTTTTCAAGGCTTTTCAGATGAAGGTAAAATGTAAAAAAGAGTCATAAAATATTAATTCAGTCATTAAGTCCAGGAATCAACAGGTCGTTGTAGTATAGTGGTGAGTATTCCCGCCTGTCACGCGGGTGACCCGGGTTCGATCCCCGGCAACGGCGCCTTTTTTATTCAGGTAAAATTGTGAAAAAGGTCCTTTTATTTATTAGAAATATGTTTTTAGGTTACATTTACAAAAAGGTCCTTATAGTATGTATTTTTGTTGGATTTAATCCATCTAAATTCTAATAATCTATTGTATTCCGTCATTTCAGAAATTGTATACAATATCCTTATACTCTTATTTCTTTCGTTCTCTTAGAAATATATTTTAGGGTAAATTTACAAAAGCTCCTTACAATATGTATTGTTGGTTGATTTATACCTTCGATTATAATTTGATCATTTCTAGTCCTTTCCTTCTGCAAAGCCCTGTAATTTTAGTCTTACGTTTTGTTAAAGCATATACGTATGTATAGTTGTACCATAAACGTTTAAAATCTTTGTATCCATCACGTATTCTCATTTTTCCCTTCAATTTATTTCTTAACTACAAGATCATATCGTAAAATCTTCGAACTGGACTAAAAAGAACTTAAGTGATAATTTATAACAAATCATCATAGATGCTCATAGATAATTCACCAACTAAGGCTACTCAATTTAAACTTTGAATATACGCATGAAGAAATTCCAACCATCTCTCACAATTAACGAGCCATGGGTGCTGCCGTATTTGGAGGTGCCATTGGCCTGGCTCCGCCGCGGTTCAACCTGTCAGCATTGGTGATCCATCCTGTTCCGACACATAAACCAAAGTCATTTCAGCCATTGATCAAATCAAATTATAAATTATTATCATTATTACCTACGGAAGGGTCAAAGCCATGGTTTTGAAGCTCCCTATGTTCTTGGGAAACAGCACAGAAATGGCAACAACAATGAACGACGTAATCAGCACAAGGGCCTTCTTTTAAGCCGTACATGATCCTTAGCTTCCTCCGATACGTGCATGTGTACGCGCACGAACAGCATACGGGCGCCAGCAACAAATAAACCAGCCCCGCTGTTACACAGCCTGCAACACCACAACCAAATTTTCCATCCGTCGGGACTGTTTATCCATAATTGCGGACGCATAAAAGGAAACAAAAGAGTAAACCACAATTTTCATGACTCAACTTTGATTAGATTCATGTTTTGGTCATTTAACTTTAATTCTTCTAATTTGATTTTTTTTTTATCTTTCATTGTTAATTATAAACATTGTTATGAAAATGTCTCAAAAATTTCTTTTAGATTTGTACAAACACACCTGAAATCCTACTTCCCAAATTTCTAACATAGCATTTTGGTTTCCTTCGATTTTATGACGTTGGATCATCTTCTACCATATCCAAATAGCTGGAAGATGGAAGAGAAAACCAACAATATATTTTGATTTTCATGGTGATCCAATGATGCGATATTAGATTGGAATCATTTTTCTTCAAGTGGAGTTTAATTTCATGAGTTTTAAATAGATTTTGATAAAATATACACCAACGGAGTGCTAAAGGACGATGCGATGAGATATTCAATGTCTAGAGTGGGCATAAAAACAGCCCAGACCAGCAAAAAAAAACTAGGTCACATTATCCAGTTGTTTTTTATTTGACACCCGAAAATATAATAATTCAAAAATTAAGTGATCAAATTAATTTTTTTAGAAGTTTAAAGACCAAGACAGGAATATAGTCAAAGTTGAGTGATGAAGAGAGTAGTTTACCCAAAAATTAAATTCCCGAGGGATAGTACTTGTGGTTCCTCGGTCGATGATTTCGGCGTTTTGGCCAAACGTGATGCAAGGACAGCAGCAAGCGGTGAAGCCTTCGAAGCAGAATAGATGAAGAACAAATTTTAAATTAGAATAATATTTGTAAGAATAAATCACAATAGGATATGCAATAATGGGGACTAAATCTTTACAGCTTGAACAATCCTCATAGCAGCTACAGAAGCCGGTGGACCATTCATTTAGTTTGTTATCAGGCAGAGCCAGAACCGTCGGTGGATCAGCTGCGGATGGTGGTGGTGGTGGAGCTATTCTTGATTTTCCAGTATCATGTGGACACATTCTTTGGTGCCCAATGAATTACTACGAATCAATGGATTATTGTGGTTTTTTGTTTTCCTTATGACGTTTATATATATATATAATGTGCATTGACTAAAATTCTTTTATGCATAACTTATATTGGTGGTCACTTAGCTTTTAAGTTATTTCTTTTACTCACCAAAGTTTTAAAACTTATATTATAATCATTAAATTTATTCATTTTTATTTGATCATTTCCCTTAAGAAATGACGACATAACACGTTAAATTTGTCTTCCCCAAAAAAGCCTTAAGCTTCCAAATTTATAACCTTCACCAAAATCAAATTTTTAACGAACATAATGATCGTTGCCAATCCTAACAATGGAAAGAATTTATTTGACTAGAAGTTTAACATAATGTAGTATTAAAGTTGATCAGACGGTTGATAAGTGACATTGAAAAGTTTTAATTTTTAGTTTCGATTTTATTATAATATAATTTTTAAAAATTAAGTGACCAAAATAAAAATATTCTAAAAATTCAATGATTACCAATACATTTTACCCTTTTTATTTACAAATAAACTCTCGGAAAAAATAAAAAAGTACTTATCCATGGAACTACATGAATTTTCGCAGAAGTAAACCCTGAAACCTCGAGCTGCCACGTGCAACTGTACGTGCTTTGAATATTTCTTCTGCTTGATCATCAAAATGGATAATAAATACAAATTGTAGCACTCGGAAGCAATTTGCGTAAATGATAAACATATTTTATGTTTTTTTGTGTTACTTTCTTATTATTTATTATAAATCATATCATTTTATGTTGCTTTCATGTTTGGTAGTCTAATTAAGATTTTTTCAATCTATTTTTTTATTGAATGAAAATTAGAAACTCGGTGACTTGCATTTATAATTTAATATTGTTTATATTTATTCAGTCGTGCACGGTGGTGGAGAAAGGCGGTCGCTTGCCCCCCACAGACCCATCTGGCCACTACTGAATATTGATCGGAACGCTTTCTGTTTGGGTCGTCCTTCCTTTACAAGCACTAGAATTTTCCATGACGAATCTGGTCGTTCGGACAAGAAGAAAGTCGATCTCTTCAAACAACCTTGGAGGCCTGTTCCTCCGCTGCTTTGGTCGTTCATCAAGCTCCTCACTGCCATCAGAGACTTGCTAATGACCAGGACCTCCTTCCATTGACTAGGGGAGGCCTTCTATTCTTCGGCTCTCGACATTGAATCCGTGGACCACGCCTATACTGGAACTCTCTCGACATCTAATAAAATGCACCACGAGATTGTTTGACACAGAACTCAGCAAAAGTTACATATCTATATTGCAACCGAGTTTGAGTTTAAAAGGGTAAAAAAATTACATTTAACAAAAGGAAAAAGAATTAAAAACAAAAACAAAAGGTTGACAGAAAAAAAGGGCTAAAAGAGATGCAAGTAATCTCGGGTTCTAGCTAGACATCATGGTGAGCTGATCACTTCTTAGGGCTTGGGTGGCGAATAACCTGACATCGACATCCGGATCCTCGCTCAGTTCAACTACACATGGTCGGATCGTCTTCTCCACTACTTGAAAGTTATAATATAAATGAGACAAGACAGATCGTGAGTTATTCGAGATCGACTCGGTCAAAACACGATAAATACTCGGATCGAATGAATTCAACTCGAACTCAAGCTCGACTCGAATTCTTAACGAGCCGAAACAAACTACTTGATACTCTACTCGAAAAGCTCGTGAACAGCTCGAAAATATAATATATTAAAATTTTATTTTAAAAAAAATAAATTATTAATAATATTAATATTTGTGTTGATTTTTTTTTTTAAAAATGTTATAAGACTTTCATGTATTTAAGATTCAGGTTCGAGTTCAAGTTTGAGGATTCAATATTGTTGAGAATTTTTTTTCTTCATTTCGAGCTACTCACGAGTTTCAGTTCAGGATTTCGAGTTCGAGTCAAACTTAAAAATTTTAAACTCGCGAGTTTTCGAGTCGAATTTCATTTCAGAGTTTTCGAGTCGAGTTGAACTCAGCAATACTCGAACTCAACTCGGCTCATTTACACCCCTAACAAACACTCAAATTCTACCACATGACGATTATTGAAGGCAAAGTAAATATACTTACAGATTGATCGACAACAGGGATAGTCGACTGCAGCACCTTGGCCACGTTAAATTTGATGTTCGGTACCCTGTGATGATGCAAGTTTTGGTCTCATAATTAATCTGAAGAACTAAGATTAAATAGTTTCAAATCAAAGTTATATCAGTATTACCTATCTTTTGAAGCATTAATAACCACGGGAAGAAGGGTTGAACAAGTAATTTATGCGCCCATAACAGGGGCAAGTAGTGAAATCGCATGTAGAATGGTCATCCGATATAGATACTGCGGGTTGTTTATCATGTCCAAAACCTGTCAACAGAACCCAGCATCATTTTCAGGTATTTCCCTTTTCTCTTGCTCGTATAGATTTGTTAAAAAGAAAAGAAAATTATCGTTCGCATAAGTAGACTGACCTGTGGAACTAAGTGCTATAATGCCCACTCTGGCCCAAATTCTTCTGCCAGGCGCTTCACATTATTAGCAGCAGGATCACGGATGGAATAAACCTACAATTATGCCTATGAAGTTGGCAAATTTTATTTTGTAATGATATTACAATATTAAGTTCTGAGTTAATATGGGTTATGTCTACTCTCTGACGAGCCACTCAAAGAGAAATAAAATCGTAAAAAAACGAGCACATAAACTCAACTTTGCACCTTATCTTTTAACCATTGCATGCAGAGTGCACCAAGTTTGTCATCAAAAAAACCAACACCTAACTGCTTGTCAATAAAGATATAAATGGTTGTCCCTCGTTCCCATATGTAATAAGGTAAGGAGGAGATAAGATAGTAGGCTGCTCCCAACACCAGGTTGAAAGCAACTATAGTAGAAAACCTCCGAATTATAAAATACCCTCCGTGGGACTCGATCCCACGACCTCAAAGTTAAGAACCTTGTGGTCTACCAATTGAGCTGGATAGTCATCTCCTTACCAATAAAGGTATGTATTCTATTATTGCAAGCCGAACCCTCCAGTGCCTATCCTCGGCAAATTCCACGATTGCTGGCAATAAGGACTGGGACAGCTAATCAATTCCAATTACCTGCAATGATGGGCATGTTAACAATGTGAGACATTTGAATATATGAGAGAGATTTTCACCGACTTGCCCCCAGGAAGTAGCACTTCCAACTACCCCGCCAAAACAAATGATTAAAACATCAAGCCTAGAAATAACAAATCTGCAGGTGATAAGTGCCAGTCAAATATGATTAATAAATCCATAAAGCAATGCCACACCGGTTTGGCTCAGGTGATAAGGTTGGTTGGAGATCATCCTAGGTTTTGCAGCCTAGGTGCTTTCACTTATACCAAGAATATTAATTCATAAGACACTATTAACACACTATTAGCTCGAAGGAACAAGGTATCAACTAGATATCCAACACGGCAACAACTTTATTTAGGAGGGTTGACGGGCAATGAAATTTCCATTAAAAGCATGCTAGTTTAATAAATTGACAATTATGCAAGCAGGAAGATGCATACACATAAGTTATGGCCTTATTTAGCTAATTGATCTGAAAAGCCACCCTGTTTATTTTAATACATTTTAAAAAGTTAAAAATTTTGACAATCTGAACCCCTAAACAATCACTATGGTAATAAGAAACTTCTTAGTTATCACGATCAGATGGAAGAGTAACCATGCGGTGTTTTTTATGGCTTAGCAGTTAATAGTCACAGGTTTCCTTTCACTTCTCGGTCAAACATAGAAAATATAAGAACCATTCAACCCAAATCAGTTGCCAAGCTAACAGTTTGAAAAAATCTGTTAAACTGTTATTAATGAAATCTTAAATTGTGTCCCACCTGGTTGACTTGATCAAGCTTGCTAATTGCTAATGATATTCAGCCGGACATCTGGAAATTCATCTTTCAAAAGAGAGAGAAATATAGGAAGCAATTGCTCTATGGTCGCATCCTACAACCATCAAATGAGATAGCATTATTGCATGTATAGAGTGAAACATACCAGAAAACATCATGAAACCTAAACTATTTCCAAAAATGAATTTCATAGAGGTGGACTATCTGAGTACAAAAAAGGACTGTTTTTACCTTACCCAAGATGGGCGCCATTCCCATTATAACTGAAGCCAAAGCAGAACGAACATGCTGGGATGAATCTGTAGATAGTTCCTACAGCAGGTGACACTAACTAAATCAGAACATAGCAAGAGTGGAAAAACTAGATCACCAAAAGAAATGAAGTGAAAACTTTGATGTAGTCGTCAAAGTATTCCTTAAGCATTTTTACCTTGACACAAGGAAGAATGTTCTGAATTGCTAATTCTGAATTCAGAATTCGGCAAAACTTAGTTACTTTTCCAGCAGCAGCTACCCTTACTTCAGCCTCATTATCACGAAGTAGGCGAACATACGCAGGTACTAGGTCCGACCTAAACATGTAAGCCTTGCAATATAATTTCATGATAGTTGATATGCACATCCAAAAAACAAAGTTCATTAAAAACTAATTTAAATAAATCAGGTGTGCATGGCCAAAGCATGATAACGGATAACTGGCCTATGCCAGTTCTATAGATTTCTAATTAAATAGAGAGACAAGATGTAAATTCATCAATAGAGATCAAGGGGAAGGAAAGAAGGAAAATGGCAGAAAGGAGGAGTAACAAAGATATCAGGACATCAGAAAATATAACAGTTGATGCCACATGATTATAGATGTTACCTAGTGGGCTCAGGACCAACAGCTTCACACAGGTCATACAACTGATTGGCGACCATGTATCGTACACGCCAAGACTTGTCCTGGAAGCAATCGTAATACCATTAAAAAAATAACTCTAAATTATAAACCATATTTAAGAATGGAAAAAAGAGAGAATTGGGGGAGGGGGCTTAAAAGAACAATAATGTCCATCACGTATCACTTCAAGAAGCAATAAAAAATGCTTTAAAATAAATTAGAAACCATGCAAAATATTTGCATCAAACACCTATACAAGATATATTCACCAAATGAACAAATAAAACCAAAACTTAAGCTTAGAGGTTACTCAATTTCTAGTAGAGTGAATCAAAATATTTGTAAAACAATATTCATAATACATGGTCTACCTGTGAGAAACTAACTATGACTGGGAGAATGTGAGCCACGCAATCTTGGGGTTCCAACAACTTTCCAAGAGCTGCACAACCCTCAACGGCTATTAAACGCACAGAATCTTGATCTCTAGGGACAAGAAATTGAAGCAAAAAAGGATTTCAAACCCTGTTACAAATTATGAACTCAAAAACAATAATGCAAAACTAAATATGAAGAATAAAAGGCATAAATATTAAATGGCCACAGATAAGGGAGCCATTTATTCTTTCATTTATAAAATAAGGTTAAAATCCCATAAAGTACATTATCAGCCTAAGTTACGCTTTATATATGAAACATTAGATAAATTCCACAGACCCTTTGATATAATTTTTAGAAAAGATTGGAACAAGGGGAAAAAAGGGTTATAGGTGGCTGGGAAGGTAAGAACAGTTCAAATATCTGTTGATCTATTTTTTGGGGGTGGCTGTCCATGACCCTAGCTCATAAGCAATAAATATTGAATATGTCAGAAATAAACGGAAAAAGATAAAAAGGATGAAGTTGAAAATTTCCAAAATGCAAACTTCAAAATTTTCAATATGAAAAAGAAAGGCTAGAATCAGAAAGACGCACCACGCAACCCTTTTCCCAATTCCGCCACTTCATGTTTGACCTTAATTCCATCCCCTCTAAACGGAAGAACACCATATCGCTACTACCACTCTCCTCATGATTTGCAACCAGGATCATTTAACTCAAATCACTTATCCTGCTCTTTTATCCCTTTAAAGTACTTGAGAGCATATATTCCACAAAGATAAAAGGATGAAGTTGAAGATTTCTTAAATGCGATCTTCGAAATTTTCAGTACAAAAAAGAAAGGCTAGAATTAGAACGAGACAGCACAAAGCCCTTTTCCCAATTCTGCCTCTTCCCACTCTAAAAGGAAGAACACCATAAGATACACTCCCCTTATGATTTCTAACCAGGATTGTTTAACTCAGATCACTTATCCTGCTCTTTTATCCCTTTTAAAGTACTTTAAAGCATATATTCGACAAAGAATTATCAGCAAAACAAGTGGTCATAATGAAGCGAGAAAGATAAATTAGGCAATTTACATACCATCCTGTGTCAAATCATTGAACATAGACATAATGTCCACCTTTAAACGAGGTGCTTCTACAGTAGCAGAAAATTTTCCAAGATTTGTTGCAGCAGATCTCCTAACCATGGGCATGTCATCTTGACAAAGCTGACTGAATATTGTTCTCAATTCAGTTTTCAGAGCCTCTGGAGCACTTGGGTAAGCAATATGAAACAATCCACAGGATGAAACTCGAGCTGTAAACCACTCACCAGCAGCCAGTCTCTGCATGTTGAGGACAACCCATTCATTAGTAAGGTAAAATTATAGTATCAAGTATAGTGAGGTTTACCGCTAAAAACAAATTTGAGTACATATTAAGTATAACATCAATAACTGGTCACTAGGCTTAGAAATGATCATATTATACACAAAACCTTCTAAATTATCTATACATTTTACTTCAGTTTTAAAAAGAAAAAAGCATATAAAGAAGAAACCAACCTTCAACATTGGAATAAAGAACTCAACCAAGTCCTGCTCCCTCATCTGGGCACCAATTCTACACAGCGACTCGACAGCCTTATCCCTCGCACACGTTTCCTCAACAATGCAAAGAGTCTCCAACGGAGGCAGCAAAACATTAGCATATTCCACACCTCCAACATAAGGAATGAAAACTCCCAATTCTTCTGCCATGGCAAGGAGAACTTCATCATCGTCATCGTTGTTCTCACTAAGAAACGGGATCAATTCTTTCGTGTCCTTTCTTCCCCAAGTGCACGTGCAATCTTAGAGAGCTTACGGATCGAGTTCAAACGAAGCTGAATATCTTCATTCTTTAGCTCATCGATCAACACGGCAATGGGATACAAAGGCTCATCCATCATTGATATCTTAACTCACAAGATCTTACACCTGTAAACATGCCAATAAACTCAAAATAATCATTTGATTCGATTTCAGATATCGAAATTTTGAAAATAGAAAACATAAACTCCGAACAAACATTTAACCTTTTCCCTCCTTGTTAGGGAGAAGAGTATAGGAATAAACGACGCCCTAAGCTATAACAAAAATGGATTAAAAGAGATGGTAATAAATGCAAAGAAAAGGTGATCCAATCTATAAACAATTCGAAAAAGACGTGCAAAATCTTTGCAACTTGAATCGACTGGAGCCGAAGACCGGCGGAGAGGAGATCTATAATACCAAGAAGAACATTTCCTTATAGTGAAAAAGAAAAATGGTACCTTTCGAGGTTCGAGTTGAGGATTTGCTCGAAGCTCGATCTGATATGTAAATGAGGGCAAAGAGAGGATTGATCCGTAAAAGATTAGAGCTTTTTGTGTTTTAATTTCTATGTAATTATCTCTACATACGAGAGCTCTTTTTGACCATAACTTTTTTTTGTTTAAATTTGTTCCTGTACTTTTTACAAAATAAAATTTAGTCTCTATATTTCATTTTTGTAAAATTGAGTCATATTTTTATTTAAAAATCGCGTTTTCTCTCCTAACATTTAAACTCCTTTTTCTACTATTTAAGTTTAATTTTTTTTTATCAATTGAGTCCTTAATCCTTAAAATAAATAAAATAAATAACTATCTAAATAATATAATTTTTTAATCATATATATTTATAAATTTTAAGAGATAAATTGATATATAAACGTAAAAGACTAGATATGGATGGCAAACAGGCAGGTCGGGTGCAGATACCCTCTCCTCTATCCCCATATCCACTTAATATTTTCAAATCCACCACCCATAATGGGTAAAAAAATTTAGATCCACACCCGCCCACACGGGTACATTCTCAAATCTATCTTCACATCCACTACTCAACTGGAAACGTACCCGGACCCGCTGACTACAACATTAAGTTATACATAAGTAACAAACATAAAACAAACACGTTCATTAAGACGCATAATAAAATAAACCAATAATTATAAGTTATATCTTATACAATATTAAGATTTATAAATTAGTTTATAAAATTATACCTAGATTCATAATGGTCCAAAATTTAATGGGTATTTAGTAGGCGGGTAGATGCTAGGTGGGCGGATGCGGGGAGGATGCGAGGTGGGTACCACTTTCTAAATCCACACCTGCCAACTACCCACTAAAGTTATATCCATCCCCACCCCAATTAGAGAGGGTACGATACGGAATCCACGAATTTGTACCCGTTTGTCATCCCTAAGACTAGATAAACTATTTTATTTTTTATAACTGTAAAAGTTAATGACAAAACTAACTAAAAATTAAGAAGAGATAAAATTTTCAAAGAAAAATAGTATTGAAACTCAATTATGCAAAGAGTATAAGAAATAAATTTTAAACAATAAAATTATATAGAGGCTTTTACTATATTTAAACCCTTTTTACACTGATGAATAACTTTGGTTTATTTGCCAAAACGGGCTCCAACCTCTTTTGAGCATTAAAAAAGGATAAGATTTTTAAGAATGAGATATATGGTTGGCTAAATAATAAAAAATATATTTAAATCTATATATACAGTCTATGTACATAACATAGTTTGATAAGAGAAACTTGTTGTGGCCCAGATGTTGATCTCTAATCCTCCCTATTTCAGACGAATCTATTCTAAACAGTCTAGACCAAAGGCCGGTGAGCTCTCTTGCTGCTGCTGGTACTGGTAGGCTCATTGGGTTCCTTAAAGTTGGCTTTCTCACTCAACTCTATAAAAGAGTCGACGACGTTTTGCAGCCGTGCCACGAATTCGATCAAAAGCGAAGTGAATGTCGCCAGTGACAATGCACTTGCATTCTCGTATGTTTTCGACTCTCCCAAAGGCGGCAATGCATCATCAGTAAACGAGTAGGTTGCAGGCCATGATATCTGCTTCTTGATGTCGTTAGAGGTTGCATCCGGAGGAGGGACAGTGGGGGCGACACCGACACTGTTATGCAGGCCATCCCAACTATTTGGTATAGTAACCGATCTGAGATCGAGTACTGCTTCGCTGAGGGACTTGTAACCCAGGACTTTGTGTTCTTCATCATCCAAGTTCAATAAGTCTTGAGGCTCTGCTGGACTACATGGTCGGTTCCCGATTTCCCAATTGTCGGCATTGACGAGAAGGTAGGATTTTCGGTCGATTTTGTGTTGTAGCTCCTCTGCAGCCTCGTGTACTTCCAATAGCATGTCGACAGGGCCTAACTTCTCCATCTTTTTAACTTTGTTCCCGAGCTCACGCAATACACTAGAACCTGCAGCACCTACCCTCTGAAGTTCATGATAAAAGACTTGTCTCCGTTCTGGTGGAGCCTATAAGGAAAGTATTCAGATTTGAAATTAAGGACGACAGCCACCCAACATCTTCAATAAACAAAACAGAAAAGTGGCAGTAGCAATCGTATAGCACATTTCGAGCAAAAACCGATAACTCGGGGATCCTAGTGCCATACGATATAGAACAAACAAAGCATGCTGAAAGTAAGGACCATGAATATCTACCTGTATTTCTGAAAGTATACAACCATGTAACGCCATGACCATGAATGCACAGTGCCTCAAAGCTCCACTTAGTTTGGCATAATTCTTCCAAGGATAAAGAAGTGACCTGTACGGACCATGTGGAGGCTCCCAGATGGCAAAACCCAACTTTGCGTAGGAAAATAAAGGACAGAGAAAGGGAATGGAGATTAGAATACCGTCATTTCATATATTTTGTGGAAGATGTAGCATAAACACGACATAATTACCAGAGCTTCCTCTTGACTCGAAGCTTCAACAGCTGATCTATAGCCACTGTAAACAGGATCATCGGAAGCTTGATAAGTAAGAATTTTCGAAGGGACCCTCTCGTATTCAACACAGTTAAGGTACTCTTTAACACATCCTGATAGAAAGCAGAAGGAGACGAGCATGAACACGGCATTTGTTTCGAATCTCGATGAGACAAATGAATTAGCAGACAATAGGTACATGCTAACCTTCCAAGGAATTCGCCACACTCGAGAAATTTTTGGCAACCAAATTGTGTAGATCCTCACCAGCCCAGATTGGGTAAATGCATACATTAATAACTAAAGAAACACCGGCACCGAGTGCAATCAACAAAAACCGTGTCACGGCCGTATGGATGAAGTCCCCTGTCTTATACCCAGATACTATTATGAAACAATACGTCAAAATGAACACTCGGAATCCATACTCGTAAGGCTTCATCGTCGGGTATAGTTTTGCATAAGTTGAAAAGAATCCTGGCAACCAATGGCATACCAAGAGAAAACATATCAGCAAGCAACTCTTAAAAGAGACTATTAACTAATAACATACTACGTGAGATAAGAAATCAAGGCCACAAAGCCGTACCTACAATAAAGATGCTAATAACAACAACAACTTCTTCATATTTTCCAGCCAACTCCGACAGTGCTGCCATAGCAAGAGCAAGCCCTCCAGCCGATAATGTTCCCAGCCCACGGTTAAATCCTTTGCTAAGAGTTGCTCCTGCAGCAAAAAAAAAAAAGTGACCAAAGGATGTAAAGAGAACAGAAAGTATGTTTCTTTGTGCTATTCGGGATAATTATAAACAGGAAAAAAAGTAATGACAAAAAAAGAAAAATGACAAAAGAACTACAGATAAATAAAGCTACAACATTGTGGCACCCATAGACATAAATGATCCCCCATGGACCAAATTATGATCACGCATTGGCCACTTAGTCATATACGACTCTCCATGGACCAAATTTCTTCCAAGAGGCTACCGACACTCGTATATGGACATGAAAATATGATTCTAGTAAAAACAAAGCAAAAACATGATCCTGCTTTCAGTTTTAAGAATTAAAAACAGATTAATAGAAGAAACAGTTCGATCAGCCATCTAAAGTAGATCCCAAAGAGGAAATAAGATTCTTAAATAAAAAACTGCAGTCAAACATATGCATCAGCAACAAGATGAACAGTTGAATTAATAAATTATTGTGAATGACCCACATAAGAAAACTATTAAAAAAACGAAATTACCTATACTGAATTCAAATACTACGACCACGGTGAGAATAGCCCAAACAGAGTACTGGCTGAGATCCTTCATGGGTAGTTTCAAGAAAATAAGCAAGGAAATAAGCACCAAGGCAAGACCCATCTTGGCAGAGAAAATAATCTTTCTGGGATCGGATTTTCCCATCTTCCATGCCTGACCTGAAACATGTCGAACTTCCTTTAACAACCCGTTCACTTTTTCGCTTATGAATCCGTAAGAAAACCAACCCCGTCGTCGTTCTTCTTCTTCGTTGGTTAATCCCAGCACTGAATACCCTTTTGTTTTATCCCTTTTCTCTAGCAGAGAGTGCCTAAACGAACCCAGCTTTGCAGCCATTGAGTACCAGAAACTTCTTCTGTGAATCAGTGTAGGATAAATTCCCCCCTTCGATAATATCTGTCTTAAATCGTAAGAGATGATGCCAAGAACGTTGGTTGAGATAGGAGGAACGACGCCGTTGACTAGCTTGGTGGGTGAGGTAAGAAACTACGAATAAAAACTACCCATCACTGGGCCCGCAGAGGCGGCCTGCCCGAATCTCGTTCAAGCTCTATTTCAACCGTCCGTCGTAAGAGCCGAAAGAGACTTTGATTTGTATGCTATTTGGCCAAAAATAACATTTTATCCTCTGAATTTCGCCACCTTTCTCAATTTCGTCCCTATTTTTTATTAATAATAATTAAAAATCATTTGATTGATATTCATGTTGAATTATACCTCATATTAATATTAAATCACACATTATTTATATTTAAACATGAAAAGTATTTTTATTATTAACTTAATAATTTGAATATTGAATTGTATTTTATATCAAACCTTAAATTACCCGTTCAAACATTCTTTAATTTCACTATCATTTTGATTTAAAATATTTAAGTTCATAGGTAAATAATATTTTATTATTTTATCTTATTTTTAATTAAATATAATAAAATAATCACTTAATAACATTTATATTCATGTTAGATAATCACACACACGTGTGTGTGTGTGTATGAAAAAAGAATACGTTAAAATAAAATATTGTTTAAAATTTTGAATATAATAACTATACGTGTTAATATATGTGTGTCGCAACCGTCTTTCGGTTGGGTCTCGGAATTGGGCTTCGACTTGAATAATTGGGTTAGAGTCGCCACCGACCGGTTTAAAATGAATTTAGGTGGGTCGGACACCATCTTACCGGATCTGCGTTGTACCAAAAATGTGTCGGGTTCGGGAGTCGGTTACGGTCAATGAAGGATTAGCACCCTTGAACCGCCCTTTCGGTACCAATTAATTTATCGGTTGTCTTTAATTGCGAAAATTAGAATTTAAATTAAAAACCCGATTCAGATCGCGTACCTTTGATCGATTGAAATTCTTAAAAAAAATGTCAAAAATGTTAGAAAAAAGAATAAATAAATAATTACATAAAAAAATCAAGGAAAAAAACCTGAGAATGAAAATAAAAAATAATAATAAAACAAAAATAAAAAATAAATAAAGAAAAAAAATCAAAAGGGAAAATAAAATAAAATAATAATATATTAAATAAATCAAAAGAAAAAATGTAAAAAAATAAAAATTAAAAATGATAAAATAAATTAAAAGGAAAAAAGATAAAGAAAAAAAATAAATCAAAGAATAAATAAATAAATAACATAATAAATAAATCAAAGAGGAAAAAAAATAAAAGACCAAAATAAATTACATAGAAACATGGAGGATTTAAATATGATTAAACCTAAGATATTCAAAATTGAAACAGTGACCAAAGTGCATACAAATAATATTTGAAACACGTAATGAAAGTAATACATTATTCGGTGACCAAAGGACAATGTTACAAAGATATGGGTTTAAACTGATGATTTCCCCGCCCCAAAAGTTGAAAACAAAATACACGTAGTGGTTTATAAAAGGAAGGGACCAAGCATGGAATTTTCCTTTTTTACTTTTATGCACAGATTCATCCATTATTAAAGCACCACCACGTTTCCTTCCATTATTAAAGCACCACCACTTTTCATTAAATAACTTAAAATATAAAACTCACAAGAAGATGTTTACACAGTTTAACAAAGGAAAGAGGCTACCTTTTGAAGGTTCTTGGTTGTGAACGAAAATTGCTTCTTCGAATGGAAATGTCAAGTTTTTTACTTGGCTCTTTGCTTCCTTCTTTGTATTTGAGGAAATGTTTCTAGTTTTCTCCAATGGATCCCCTCGGATGGTTCTCTTTTTTAATATGAAAAAATAGCCTCTCTTTTGATTTTTGGTTTCCCCAAATGCTCTCGTTTTTCCCTTTTCGTTTCTGAAAAACCCTCTGGTTTTGATTTTTTTAGCTATGGATTTTTTTGGGTTCGAATCGTGCTCGTAGTTTTCCTTCCCCCCCTTTGTGTGTTTCGTATGAAATTTTCTCTCTCCCATATCCTCCTCCTTGCATGTGTATTTATAGTGCTAATCCGGTTTTAGACTCCCGTTAGGACTGAAATTCTTGCTTTGCTTGTGATTTGTTGGTTGTTGGCGAGGATTCCGGTGACGTGGAGGGAGACGTGAGGCGAGAGGCGTCTTCGGGTTGACCGTGGAACTCGACGGGCAGTTCCCCCTTGCACGTTGGTTGCGGTGTTTGTGAGAAAATATGGAAGCTAGGGTTGTTGATGTGGGCCATTGGGACTTGTTTGCATTTGGTCTTTGGGCCTGTAACAATAAATAACAAATTAGTAGTTAAATTATAATATATAATATGTATACATATAATACATACACACTATATAATAAAAATAACAACACATAAAGTAACATGTAAATATCGCGTGATCGGACAAAAATATGTGTCGACAGCTGCCCCTCTTTGTCCTTTTTCGGGGAACGAAAAATAGGACAAAGATGAAAAGACACAAATTTTCGTTCAGTGGAATTAAAATTGGAATAGAATAACTCCCTGTCGAATTAATTTGCGGATGATTCTTCCGTCGCGAAATCGATTTCATCTTGAAATGATCTGGAATTGAAGCCGTAATCCGAAATTTGAATCAGGATGCAGCTTCTTGTTGCCCAATTGTAGTCAACTTCGGTCTTCTTCTCGGTTTAAAGACCTTGGTTTAAAAATTCGACTAGGAAGTAGTTTCTTGACTCCACCCTATGGTTGATAGGCCCTCGAGCTGAATGAAATCGAACTCAGAAGGTCTTCGTTGGCATATAGCCCTTCCCGACTTAAGCTATGCTGCAAATGACATGCCTTGGAGCTGAGCGTGGTCGAACTCAAAGGTCTTTGGTTGGCACGATTCCCTTCGTCGTGAAGTTGAAACTATGGATGGCCTCTCGTTGTGAAGTTGAGCCTCGAATTGGATATCCTTCATCGTGAAGTTGAAATCCAAGTAAGTTGTATTGTTCCAAGTCCAATATCCTCCGCCGTGAAGTTGAAATTGGCTCTGGAACTAGGAAATTGTTTGTTGACAACCAGCCGTCCCTTCGTTGTGAAGTTGAACTTGTGTTGCCTCGAGTCCAATATCCTTCGCAGTGAAGTTGAAATTGGCTCTGAGTTTGGGAAATTGTTTATTGACAACCAGCGGTCCCTTCGTCGTGAAGTTGAACTTGCGTTGTCTGGAGTCCAATATCCTTCGTTGTGAAGTTGAAATTGGCTCTGAAATTGGGAAATTGTTTATTGACAACCAGCGGTCCCTTCGTCGTGAAGTTGAACTTGTGTTGTCTGGAGTCCAATATCCTTCGTTGTGAAGTTGAAATTGGCTCTGAAATTGAGAAGTTGTTTATTGACAACCAGCGGTCCCTTCGTCGTGAAGTTGAACTTACGTTGTCTGGAGTCCAATATCCTTCGTTGTGAAGTTGAAATTGGCTCTGAAATTGAGAAGTTGGTTATTGACAACCAGCGATCCCTTTGTCGTGAAGTTGAACTTGCGTTGTCTGGAGTCCAATATCCTTCGTTGTGAAGTTGAAATTGGGAAATTGTTTATTGACAACCAGCGGTCCCTTCGTCGTGAAGTTGAACTTGCATTGTCTGGAGTCCAATATCCTTCGTTGTGAAGTTGAAATTGGCTCTGAAATTGAGAAGTTGTTTATTGACAACCAGCGGTCCCTTCGTCGTGAAGTTGAACTTGCGTTGTCTGGAGTCCAATATCCTTCGTTGTGAAGTTGAAATTGGGAAATTGTTTATTGACAACCAGCGGTCCCTTGGTCGTGAAGTTGAACTTGCGTTGTCTGGAGTCCAATATCCTTCGTTGTGAAGTTGAAATTGGGAAATTGTTTATTGACAACCAGCGGTCCCTTCGTCGTGAAGTTGAACTTGCATTGTCTGGAGTCCAATATCCTTCGTTGTGAAGTTGAAATTGGCTCTGAAATTGAGAAGTTGTTTATTGACAACCAGCGGTCCCTTCGTCGTGAAGTTGAACTTGCGTTGTCTGGAGTCCAATATCCTTCGTTGTGAAGTTGAAATTGGGAAATTGTTTATTGACAACCAGCGGTCCCTTGGTCGTGAAGTTGAACTTGCGTTGTCTGGAGTCCAATATCCTTCGTTGTGAAGTTGAAATTGGCTCTGAAATTGAGAAGTTGGTTATTGACAACCAGCGGTCCCTTCGTCGTGAAGTTGAACTTGCGTTGTCTGGAGTCCAATATCCTTCGTTGTGAAGTTGAAATTGGGAAATTGTTTATTGACAACCAGCGGTCCCTTCGTCGTGAAGTTGAACTTGCGTTGTCTGGAGTCCAATATCCTTCGTTGTGAAGTTGAAATTGGCTCTGAAATTGAGAAGTTGTTTATTGACAACCAGCGGTCCCTTCGTCGTGAAGTTGAACTTGCGTTGTCTGGAGTCCAATATCCTTCGTTGTGAAGTTGAAATTGGGAAATTGTTTATTGACAACCAGCGGTCCCTTGGTCGTGAAGTTGAACTTGCGTTGTCTTGAGTGGCACGATATCCTCCGTCGTGGAGTTGAAATCGCGGGTGTGTGGGTACGATATCCTCCGTCATGGAGTTAAAATCGTGGATGGCCCTTTCATTGTGAAGTTGAGCCCTGACTTGAATATCCTTCCAAGTATTGTATGTTGCGTGTGGACACGATTCCCTTCGTCATGAAGTTGAAACCATAGATGACCCATTCGTCGTAAAGTTTGGCCTTGAGCTAGATATCCTTCGTCGTGAAGTTGAAATCTACTCTCGAGCTAATTGTGTCGTTTCGAGTCCAATTTTCTTCGCTGCGAAGTTGAAATAGACTCTAAATGAAATTGGAAAGTTGTTTGTTGACAGAAAACTTTTCTTGACTTAAGTTGTGCTGTAAATTTCCTTTAAATGAATGATGGCCCCTTTCGCCAAATTTTGTGAGCTGGATGTCTTCCGTCGTGGAATTGAAATCTGGCTTGAAAGTGTTAACTGGAAACATGCTGCTCATGGTTGAGTT